ATATTCTTCATGTGCTAAATAATGGAGGGGATAGTGGGAAAAGGAGGAAGTTGTGTTGTCAACACTGGGATTCGAACCCCCGGTCATGAGATAGGCAGATAATCTCTCTCGGCTATAGTATGTACCCAGCTACAAGGAATTAATTGACTTCTTAAGGTGTTCACCGCTAATATAAGTATAGTAGACATCCAATGATGAAAAATATAAATATGAATTCGTAATGCTCCTCACATGGCGTAGCTTCCGGCTTTCGAAGAACGTGCTCTCGATTCTCTGCTGCTGTGGGCCCAGTTGGCGCGCATAAAATTTTGATTGTTTAAACGTATTAGGTAAAAACTGTCAATAAAGGATTTTTCTCTCATTTAATAGTCTGAATACCATCTTTTTATGGATACTTGACTGTTTTGGTGGAATACGGTAAAATAACAATTAAATAAATCGCTATTTAACCATTTATTTTCCGAAACATTTCTAGTAGTGTATCTTATTTGCAAATTACTCGCTTATTTTAGAGTGGAAATAATTTGGACATCATTAGCAACAATGAAAATATGCGTCATTTTGAAGATTTAGATTTGCTGAAAAAGCTCACCATGTATGGTAAAATAGAAAAGGGAAATAAACTTCGTAGGCGAGGGCTTTGCGAACTTATATTTTTGGGAGGGGGGAAATTACAATTTGTCTGAATCATGAATGAGCGCCTGTATATATTCTAACATACAATAAAAATGCATCAAGAGCAGCTCTAAAGAAGTACATGTCATAAATTACATAGCTGCAAACTTTTGCGATTTCCTCTACACGGGAGATTTTAATTTTATATTGAAAGTGGTAGCAAGATTTATACTTTTGTTATTTTATTTAATAAATCTGAATGAAATGTTCTAGCTCATCATCATATTAAATTAATATAAACGTGTCTAAACTATCTAATAATCATTGATGTGGTTTTAGGTGCTGATTAAAATTTAAGAAATTTCTGCTTACTGTTGTTGCAATTTTTATTTCACTACCACTAGTGAAACACTTCTTAAGAAAGTGAAAGTGTCGAACAGCTAAAAAATAAGTATGATTTGTCTAACATAATGTAAACAAACAATCATATTTCTAAAGGTCTAATTTAGAATAAAATCAAGTTTACTAACTGCTAGGGAAATAGATTTGCTATAACCATAATGAAAAAAGGAGTACTTTTTTCTAGAATAAAGTAAATATGACGATATAATTCATTTGATTAATAAAAAATTATACTATTTAGTTGCTTATGTTTTCAAAACACATTATTTCCCCCCCACCATTATATTGCTGATTTAACGATTATATACTTAATTATTCTAGTCAATAAATAAAATAATTAATGTACCGATTGAGAAATAAATATAAAAATATCAACTGATTCGCAGCTAAGATGAAGACATAATTTTTCATTATTTCATCATGAACCGAATAATAAATAATTTGATGATCGGCAAATCTCGTTGAATGCTCCTCTAAAATAGAATATTGTTGGAATCGAGCTTCTTAACTAAAATATACCCTTTTTTTAACATTGAAAGGAGAACATTTGACATTCGATGTGTCCAAACGATGTCATAAAATAATACTCATATTTTTCGTTAACTTTTCAAGATTCCATAAAAATAAACACCAAAATTTTTAAGATTTAATTGCTTCGTAACTGATTCGAAATTCTAAAACAGAGACAACTGTTTTTTTCTTATCTTTGTATGAATAAAAAACTAAAAAATATAATTTTACTGCGATTAAGTTTTGTAAAAATTCGAAAAACTATCAATATAAACTTAATTATTCTGGTCAATATAGTTACTTCAGTTATATAGTTACTTCAAAACTAATTCGTAATTGAAGAGTTATCCATTTAAAGACATAAAGAAATACATTTCTGCAAAAAATAAATAACTGTGGCGTAAATAGCCACATCAATAATATTTTGGAATCAGATTTATTTCCTTTGAGTTATGACAGTGGGAGGAATGTTTGGTGGAATATTTTCTGAAATAGTAGTGAAGGGGATAGTAATTTTCTTTTTAATATGAGAGATTATCAAAAAATACTTTTACAAGCTTAACATTCAACTTTGAGTCCTTTACGCTGTCTTTTAATTATAGAAATTTTTATGTATTTAAATAATTAAAATAAGTTTCCGCTGTGCGTAATTAAATTGATATATTTTTGTTTTAAACTTAATACATCATTCGAGTACATTACTAACAAAACTATATTAATGTATTCCCTGTTTCGAATTTTTCTTTTTCGTAAAAGAAGAACGGAGGAGCTTTTAAAAATGAACTACTTGACATCTTCAATTTCTAATGAAATTGGCTCTTTCGTATTCGAAATAGGAACTCCATGACGATTTTTATTTTATTTTATAACCACAGTTAAACAACCGACCCAATTTTGGGTTTTTTCACTACTAATGTTCAACTCCATAGCCTTGTAATTTTGAACCCAATCCAGAAGACAAGGCAACCCCTGGATCGAGTATTGGGAGAAATTTTCCTTCTTGGAGGACTTTTGCATGGTACTAACCCGCATTTGCGTTACATGGGGAGGAAAAGCACGAAAATCTTCCACGGTTAACCTGATAACAAGGTGACCCCAACCCATGATCCGTCTACAACTGAGGATATATTGACGTCAGCACTGTAGTCGGTGCGAGCCGGGAGTGGAATTCGTATCAACCAGCCATCGCTAGGATTCGAACCCGGTTCGCCTCATTGGATGGCAAACGCTCTATCCCTTGAACCACCACGGCTTCCCATGATGATTGCTTGAAATAGGGGCTTTCCAATGTCAAGAAGGGGATTAGATTTGTTAAGGATTTGTGAAATGGATGCCTAATATTATACTTGCGCATTATTGTTTTCATCGCTATTTAAAAAGTTTAAATGGCTATAGGTAAAGTAGTGATGAATTTTATATGCGCTTTTCTAAAAAAAAAGAGAGAGAGAAAATGAAATTTTGAAGTTATGCCGAATGATCAAATATAATTTGTCAAATAGATAAAATTTTTGGGAGGTCAAAGTGACCTGCCATCCCGGTAGGGTTCAAACTTTCTCCGCCGCTTATGGTTAAACTATTGGGACCACATTTCTCATTTTGCAGTTACCGGTACCACATTTGTTCAAATAAGGGAAAGAAATGTATGTACATTTAGATAAAATGCGTCTTTGTGTCTAATTTCAAAATTTCATCTTCACTAATTAAGTAATTAGCATATTTTTGGTCAATCCTTCGAACTATTACGATAGTATGAGGAAATAGAATATAATTTAATCCGGGTGATACCTTTTTTTTGACCCTAAGTTTATATTTATTAAAAAAAACCTTATTTTTTTGGCTCAGACGTTAATGTAAATCAAAGATTAACTATTTTTTCGGCCAAAAATATGTGTAAAATCGTTTCTTAATTTGAATCAATTCGTTCTTAAAAATCAAACAATTCTTGATAAACAACTAAAAAATACTTCCTCTTCTCCATAGTAAAAAATCCGACACACTTTTTTCAGTTAATACGTTTATACCGATGTATTCCTGATAGTTGTCCTATAATAATCGAGTGAGATATGCCTTATCATTTATTAACCGATGCACTTTTCCTTATTCCCCATAATAAATGAATAACATGAATGCGTAACTTTCCCTTTCTCATTATAATTTTCTGATATGTTTTGCTCTGTAAGTCTATAATAATTGTACAAAACTGCTTTCTTGCTGTGCTATAATAATTGTCCGATAAGCATTAAATCTAAATAAGTTTCAAACACTATTTGGTTAAAGGTTTATTTTTTTTAAATTTTATAATTTAATAATTTTATAACCGGCATTGAACAGCTGTTCCAATTCTGAGTTTACGACTATCAATGTTAAGCTCCATAGCCTTGTAATTTTGAACCCAACCCAGAAGACAAGGAAAGTCTTGGATCAAGCATTTTGACAAAATAGCTTGGTAAAGGAGTTTTTGATGGAACTAACCCGCATTTATGTTAGATAGAGATGAAAACCTCTCACGGTTAGCCCGATGGCAAGGGTATTCTAACCCATGATCCGCTGAGGATATTTCAAGTCAGCACTGTGGTCTGTGCGAGTCAGAAGCAGAATTCGTACCAACCAGCCAGGGCTGGGATTCAACCATGGGTCACTTTATTTTGTTCAAACGAACGCTCGATCACCTGAGCTACCATGGCTCAGTTGATGAGGTTTATGCTTAATTATTTTTTAAAGATTTTTTTTAAATCAAAATTGTGTAAATATTAGTTCATTATTTGACAAAATAGTATAAATATATTGATTTCTTACCTGCTTAAATTTTAATTTTGCTTGCTCGAAATAAAGCTCCCACGCTTAATTTTAATCTTACAAGCTCGAACTATTTATAATCAAGTTACAGAGTAAATGTTATTATTTAACTTTGCTGTTAAATTTTTAAATTCATTTACATTTAAAAATAAATGCTTAGCTTTCTGTAATAAGATTTATGCTTTGCTTTTATTGAATTATATTTGACTAAAAAAGGGTAAATATATTAATACTTTAATTTTATTTAATTTTAAATCATTAAGAGTTTATTAAGAAGTTTCGAAAATAATTGCGTAGTTCAGATTTTACTTTTTTTTATTTTAAAATTAAGATAAATATTTATATTTCCTTAGTTGACTTTCTTAGTTGGTTAATATTACTTCACCGCCATCTTTAAAAATTGAAATTTTCCTCCGTTGCCATTTGTATTACCAATTAATTCGAAAATCCCGGTCTCCACGACAATCTGAAAAGACAATCCGCTAGTTAAATAAAAAGTCGACGAAAATAATTGCCGGACCCAAAAGAATTTTCCATTTCCCCCTTTAAGATATTCAAATTTATTCATGATAAAATTCTCTGACTTATAATGGAACAGAATTTTAGTTGTTTTTTCATAATTATTTTGAAAAGGAAATATTAATTATTCATGCACTAATGGTCTTCAATCTTTCTAGGCTTTTGGAAAGCAGAGAAAAATAAGTGGTACTACTGAATTCAAGCAATTAACAAAGCAAGATGCTAAAAATGAGTTGGCAAAAGAATTGGAGAAGATTCTTAACACAGCGCCCTCTACAGTGGAGAAACAGGTATTAGCATGCAAAAGTTGAAGAGGTCTTTTTATAGTTAAAAATAAAATGAATTTTCAAACCATAAAGTGGAAAATGATAAACACATTAGAGGGAAATTTCTTTTCCTTATTTGTGATCAAACTGATTTAAATATCGTATTATTATTCAATAATTAAGTATCAGGTCTACTTTTTAATAACGGGAAAAAAAAAGATTTCCTACCCTCATACATACCATTTACATCAATTTTAGTTTATTTAGGGGATTCAACTTTAAGTAGATTAAATGCATGAACTGATTTTTAATAACGAAAAAAATAGTTTTTTTTTATTTACCACTCACGCACGGTAATGGTACGATACTGTATGGTTAAAAAAAAAGACCATAATTTTGGTTAATAAAAAAGACCATAATTTTGGTTAATAGAACCAAAATATACAGTTTTTAAAACATTCATTTGACAATTTCTGTTTTGATATTTTAACGGTTTACCTGAAATCCTGCTTTTCTAAATTATAGTTCTCATTTCTACATATCTACTAAAAGACACAAAACTGAAAAGTAAATTTAACTGAATAAATGTTGTTCATGCAATTCTCTAACATATTATGATATAATTACCAAATTTTCCACATTTACCAAATTTTGTCAAGTAGTTTAATACTTCTTTTTTGTTAACTTTAAGGTAAGGAGTAGGTAAGGAGTAAGGTAAGGTAAGGGTAAGGAGATAGACTTAAGTCCATTCTCTAAACAAAATCAAAGTACGTTTTTCTTAAAAAATGATAAAATAAATTAATTATAATTTTAGAAAAATGTGAACATTTATTTTGAAACTAAGTTTGTTTAGCTCACCCTAAATAGTTTTCGAAAACTCGATGTAGGTAAAAATCTGACTATTATGCCAAAAGTTATTTAAAGTATGATGTTTTTTATTTTGAACACTGAGCACTGTGCTAAAACTACACAGTATACATTATATTATTAGGTCAGAAAAATATAAAGCAGTATTTTATCTTTAGAGATTAAGTTTTTTTTGTGTTCTTTTATCTGCATAAAATTTAATTTTGCATAAAACAGTATTTTGATTTTAATATGGAGAAATATAAAAATTTATTATGGATTAAAAGTGATTAATTCATTGTATTATTTTATGTAATGATTAGTTACTGCTTCATAGTTTAATGTTTTTTTTTCTTAATCCAATTCCTAAACAAGATTCGATGCCGTTTGTTTCATTTGCAGATAATTTAAAATAGGGAAAAAGGAAATAATATGGAAAGATGTGCGTTGTGAAAGTGAATGTTTTTAAATTTTTTTAAAATTTAAAGAAAAAACAAACAAAACACTGGGTAAAATTTTTTTTGTTGTATTTATACAAATACTTGACCATGTCTTATTCAGTTGTGGGGATTTCAAATGCGAAATTAGTTTGATTATAAAGCTAAAAATTTTTTTAAATGACGTTTTAATTAAAAAACTTTTTTTTTGGAAATGTACAAGTTTAGAAATTTTATAAATAACAAGTGTCACGAAAAAGTCCTAGGGGAGTTATGGCAAGATTAAAATTTTACAGAAATTCATACCCGGAAAAGTATTTATACGAGGTTAGATACGCTTCTCCGTTATGATCTTTCCAGAAGCGCATGAAAAAATAGTTCATGATGGGGAACACCCCTAGCGGCGTATGATGACTATTCGAGACATGGTTTTCTATGCTATTTTAATCTTAATGATGTGCACTAACACTTCTAGTTCCTGCGCGATCCATAGTTTACGAGAAAAATACGAAAAACAAAGTATGACGTCACTGCCGGTGTAAGAAAAGAACACTTTATTGGACATATCAACAACAGTATTTGCATATCTTTCAAGACGATTATGTTTAAAATGTTCGCCGCGCATATTCTGCTTTAAATTGTGCATAGTATACTGCTGTTGATATGTTTAATAAAGTGTTTTCTCTTGCCCCGGCAGTTACGCCATACTTTGTTTTTCGTATTTTTCTCGTAAACTATGGATCGTACAGGAAAGCTTCTTTGGGCAGTTTTTATGTACTCCCAACGAGGAATCTAGCTGTGCAGAGTTTATGCGGTCGTTTCGGGACACCCTGTATATATATTCAATCCAGGGTAATTTTTTCCTGATATGAATTTCAAATATAATACTTCGTTAAAATAAAATATATTTAGCAAATTTCGTATAAAATTGCAAATTCACCTACAATTTAGAGTTAATTTCTAACGTGATTAGAATTTACAGAAATAAGAATCGGCTAAGGAAATAAATCCATTTTGTATGATTTATTACAGTCTACGGTCATTGACCTATCTAGATTAAAAAAAGAACTTCATTAAAAGAGTGTAACTGCAACGATTATGACGTATATTTTTAATGAAATTTTCACGGAAAATGATAAGGACGAATAAATATCTTTAATGCAGTTCTTTATTTTGTTGTTTTAAATTTAATCTTTTTTACCCCAAGCTTGATAACATTTCCGGTGTAGATAAATCCAGGAAGTATCATTACCTAATAAAATGTGTTCCTTGTTTCCTGATAAAATAAATCCCTTAAACCTGCATGTTTGTGGAGATTTATGTACAATTTCATTAAAAATCGGTTTAGCATCAAACCGTAATATTAATATGCAACCATAATATTATGCACAGTTGCTGTAATAAGTTATTAAACTGAGCCATGCTTTCGTCTAAGTTGAATCATAGTACCAGGCAAGATTGTTTAATTTGCATGATAATATGGTGCAACTTCGAACTTTATTAAGCTTGTTGTAATTCAGCACGATAATATAGTTAAAATAGAGCCGTATTATATAAACTGTAGAGAAAACTGGAACGATATTGTACATGATGTTCGAATAAGTTTCAAAATGTTGGAAACCGTGTAAGAAATTCCGGATCAAATTCCGGTAAACATTCCGGAACTCAGAATGTAGGTACTTTTTACCATAAAATCGATTTTTACTTTGCCATGTTATAGAACAAAAAATCTGATGTATCGTCATTTTTACTGCAATAATTACCTCAAAATCTCTAAATCACTCTAATTAAATAAATATTTTACTGTAAAAATCACGGTAAAATATTTTACGGTAAAAATGGATTTTACCTGAAAAAATGGATTTTACGGATGATGCATCCAAGTGCAGTATACCTTATTTTGATCCGGATTATTAATGTTATTTGATTTCCTTATACCGTAATTTGATCAGGAATTTTCACAGTGTAGGTTGATTTGTTATGCATTTGCAGATCGACAGCAAAGTGAAATCAGTCTACTTTATTAATAAAAGAAATCGATACTTATTTTAATAAAATGAGATTTTTTATGTAAGAGGTTTAACCTTATTAGTACGCACTCATAAAGTAGACAAAAAAGTAAAATATTACGGAAAATCGTATGCGACCGCTTATTTAGGGAAAAAAGAAGTATTAAATAGAATTTTTGAATAGTTGTTGTCCGGTGATATTATTCGTTAATCAATGTTTTAGATGATATGATTTTATTAGATTTGAAGTTTATTCGATTAGAAAGATTTATTTGATTAGAAAGTTTTAATTGATATGTGATTAAATAAAATATTTGGATAAAAGGTTTTTCTAAAGAAAAAATTATATATTCATCTTTTAGATTACAAGTTTATTTAAATTAGTTAAATTTTTTTTCTTCTTTAATCTAACTATCTGTATCACAATTTTAAAGGTCTAATTTTTGATTAATAACTTATAATTATAATACCAATAATTTGAAGAATAATTTGATTAATAGCCTATAATTAATAGTTTATAATTCATTTTCGTGATTCGGCCTCATTTGAAAATAAAAAATTTAAAAATTTTGGATGAAAAAATGCTAAGCTTAAGAAAAATTGAATTATAATTAATTTAAATGTTTATTATGCAATTATTATTTCAATTATTTTTTGTTGACACTTTTTTGACCAGGTATGATGAAAATTATCAGGTCTGTTATATGTAAACAAATTATTCGTACACATTATAGACAACGATACTTCTCATGTAACTTTGATACTATTAATAGTATGCAACTTTAAATCTTTAACAGGAAGTGTTAGTGTCGTGATTGTTTATCATATCTGTTATCAGACAAGGTGAATAGCATAAGGAAATAAAAATGCAGCAAGCAAAATAGTTCTACAGAAATATAAAAATTCAATATTTAAAAACTGCATAAGCTAAATTATTTAGTTATGCAAAAATTTAAGTTTTTATTTATTATTTTTATAACTTTTTTAGAATGTGATTTTGAGTATTCAGCACAATTATAAACGAAGAAGTAGATTTTATTTTGGCTGTGCAAATTAATTCGGATTAATATCTTTTAGGCTTAAGTTTCAGACAGCTATATTTTCAGTTTTTTCAACTAATTCCAAATACTACTTAAATCTTTATCTTAGATTAAATCTTTTAATTGTAATTTAATATATTTTATGCGTGAAGGAGTCTAGCAGTGCCTCTGATTAAAGGTACAATAATAAAAACCTTCTGACATCTTCAAATAAGAAAGATTTTTCATGTGGGCAATAAATGGTTTCGAATAATGAAAACCACCCTCATATAACTATAAAGTGTACAGTTATTTAAAAACATATTCATATATATGTTGTGGTTAAAGTAATAAATCCGGTTGTTATTAATACTAACCGGTCAAAATTAACAATAACTGCTTTTTTAGGTTAAAGTGAGAAATAAAAATGGGGGAGGGGGGAGATTTCCGTATCGTGATCTGTGGATATAATGATAAAAAGTATAATCATTTAAGAGCACATTTGTATATATATGATAAAAATAATATTTGTATAGATAATGATGAAAATCCTATTTGTATTATAATTTAAAAAACGTATAATTATTTAAATGCATATTTGTAAGCATGATTATAAAGATGAATGTTTAAGAATTTATATGCATATCTGGTCATGAAATTTGTAAGCTTAGGCTTTTGATTTAAATAAATTTCTTTGAATGTATTACAGAAAACAACCGAAGAGTTCAAAGCCTTTCAAAGGTTATTCTCTCAGTTTCTTCAAGGTACCAGTAGCACAGTGCAATGGGACAAGGTTGAGCCATTGCCACAAGGGGCTGTAAGTGGATTTTTATCTCTTTTTCCCAATGCCTTTGCTTTCAATTGAATATGTAAAAGATGATTTGTTTTAAATGAAAATTTCTTCGATACTCGATAGTTTTTAATTTTAATGTCACTGCTGTTTTTATTAGTTTTTAATTTTCTGCACTAAGTATGTAAAACTCACAATTTTTGAACTAATAAATTCCGATTATGAAAGTTGTTTTTCTTCATATAAGATATCAGCATTGTTATAAGTAGTTATTGTATTTTTTCGGCAAAAATTCAATAAAAAATTTCAAAGTATTATCAATATTTTTTGTTATTAGTCTATAAATTATTTAGTATTAATCAATTAGGTGTTGAAAACAAGGTGAATTATTTAAAGAAACAATTAAAGAAATGAGATAGATGTGCCCGCTTAGGTAACCAACCATATATTCGCATCTGGTTCCAAAATTAGTGATGATGTTCACCACACTAACTGGAAAAAAATTGTTTTTGAAATAATTATCATTTGCAGCAATAATGTAACTAAGGATAAAATATTGAACATCCGTGTAAATATTATACTTAAAATGGTTGGACATGCAGCAGTGAATATTATTTTTTTAGATTTCCTAGTCAGAGCCTCCATCTGTTGTTCGAGTTTTGTAACTAGTTTTGAAATTTGTAGGGAATAAAAAACTGATTTTCTAAGTTGAACAAAGCAAAGTAAATTTTTATCCTTCACCGTTGTTCAATTGATTTTAAATCGTCGGTACCTCGGTATAAACTATTTAGTATTAATTTCTAATTTCAAAGAAACTGCAGAAAATAAATCTTGCTTTAAAATTTAAATTTTACGAAATTCTATGACATGTTCATTTTACTTCCCCAAACCTAATACTAACCATGACTTGATCATTATTAGTAGTTAAGGGAAGTAATTTTGAACTTGATAATTGAAAAGATTTGAGGAAGTATATGTTAGGTGTTCATTGTTTTTGGAAGTAAACATGAAACATTTAATAAAGCGAGTTTCAATCTAAAGTGATGTTTTGCAAATAGCTTCTTGGCGTTTCTACGTTTCTATACGTTACAAGTCCGATTATCATTAATTATTATAATGTTATGAAATTAATTTGTTTTAAAATAATTTAAATCAAACGTCAAAATTTATATTAAAAATTTATCTAAAAGTAATTATTTAAACAGTTGAGGTACCAAATGCCTTCAAAGATAAAGTTTCAAAATTTTTAATTTAGAAATTTTTTTATATTGATTTATGTATATTAGGCATCAAAACATGTTATTAAAAAAAGTTTTTTTTAAAAAAATAGTGTGTAAACTGGTCAAAAATTTATGAAATAGACTAATAATTAGATATAATATTATTTAGATATTTTAGTGCAAATAAAGATACTTATTTGTCAAAATAGGTCAAAAATTGCAATTAATTATTTTTAATTTAGCTGTAAAATATAAATAATTTTTTAATCCACTAGTCCGCAGTCTTTTCTCTAAACACATGTATAGATAACATTCATGCAAAATTTCAAGTTGTTCCAACTAAAATATCTTCAGTTATTGCATCTAGAATGAAGGAAAATAGCCAAAAAATATTAGTTTTGAAGAAAAGGACGAAAAAGACATATTATCAATTCAATAACTAATATAGATGTTTTTATTAAAATCATTATAACTTCTTTTCTTTAAAACTCAAATGATGGTTTTTGGAACAAAAAAGTATATTGTTATATTTTATATAAAAAACAGGAAAATGATAATTTCGTCAAAATTGACTTAAAAAAGGTAGTCTTACGAACTCATTATAAGTTTAAAAAATATTTCATTGCATTTCACCAAGATTTATTTAAATCTATTCTGTGTTTCTTGTTAGATATATTCACGCATTGATTAAATTTGTTACATGGAAAATAGAAAAAAATTTAGTGCTAACGTTGCAATTCAGGCAGAAGGAAAAGTATTGAAATGTTTTTTATTATTCCTTTTATTTTTACCAGACAGATTTGGTTGTAAAAAATATCTAAGTAATGCATTAATTTAATATTATTATTTAATATTAAGAGACAAATTTCATTTCATAATACATTTTATACATACAATACCAATTACTAGTTTCAATCATAAATATTTTAAAAATATACTTTAAAAGGTAAAATACGTTATCTCAATAAATTATTAACGTAGCTGTTGCTTGCTAAAGTTTTTTTCCTTAATTTCTATATCATTCTGTTCGCAAAAAAGTAAGAGAAAAAATTTGCTTATCACTTTCGAATCTCAATACAAATCACAATCTTCTACCTCATCACAATACAAAAAATTCATGCAAAGATAAAGACTTTCCTTAATTTTAAAAGACAAAATGATGCAAAAGTTTTCCTAAAATAGAGTTATTTCAAACTGAAATCATCTGTAGGAAGTGACTGCAGTTGTAATTACATTAGATCTTAAATTTTGGACAAAATAACCAATTTGCAGGGTGATAATCACTTCTAAAGAGAGCTACATTGAATAAAAGAGAATATAAGATGAAATTCTGCTGAAATTCACTGTAAAGAATTCCGGATCAAATTACGGTAAAAAGTATTGACACTCAGGGTGCCGGAACTTTTTTGTACGTGAAATCCATTTTTAACTTAAATTTTACAGAACAAAAAATCTGTTACACCGTAATTTTTACGGGTAAAAATGGATTCGACGGTAAAAATGCATTTTACGGAAAAGTGAATTTTATGGATGATGCATCCTAGTTGCCACTACTTTTTACCGTTATTTAATCCGAAATTGTATTACAGTGCATGATAAATTATGTAACGAAATACGTTTTTCGTTTTAAAAAAATTATGCATAAGCGAAAATTCATTACGTTATGTATTTCTTGGAGGAACTAATGAAAAATGGGTGCATTGAAATTAATGAGTGGTTATGCATTTGATAATTTCATTTGCGTGACATCATCTAAGCATTGCTTTGTTATAGGTTATCAAATACCAAAGTTTACCCGCAGCAGAGCCTAACAAAATCAGAGAAATGTTGAGCAAACTTGTTGTGGTCAAGTTGAACGGAGGTTTAGGCACAACAATGGGATGTGTTGGACCAAAATCTGTCATTCCAGTCCGAAATGAACTTACATTCCTTGATCTCACAGTGCAGCAAATTGAAGTAAGTTTTTGAATTAATTAATCAAATAATGAACAAGAACATGCACTATAAATTTTGAAGAGAATGTACGGCAAAAAGTTTTTTATGGCAAAGATACTAAGTTTTTTTTTATTGAAATAGTTGTTTATCATCTTCTCGCTCAGCTCATCAACCTTCGTGACTGATTCGCATTTATCATTTTTTTCTTCTTAAATTCAATATTTTCCCCAAAAATGAAGAACACTCTGTTAACTATGTGATAAGTATAATTTTATGCAAGAACATTTTGTTAATATGTTTATCGTAATGAAATAAATAATTATCTGAATTTAAAAAATAATCCACTCAACTTAAAATAAAAAAGAATTAAACTTAAGAATACAAAATTTGTGACATAATAAGAACTAATAACCGAGAAGCAATTTTATTGGTCAACAAGATAGCACTTAGGAAACAGCTTTTACATTTCTTGAATAAAGTTTTTTATATTTTAAAAACTTCAATATAAATGTTAAGATTTAAAATTTTCAGAATCTAATTTTCTATTCTTCTTTTTTTCATTTTTGACATCAACTTTAATAAAATAAATATCTCATGACAGATGAACAAAATTTCCTTCAACAATGGATAAATGTTCTTCTTTTGAAACTATTAAAAAAAGGGAGAAAAAGCTCTTAAAGTTGCTATAACATAATAAGCAAATTAAAATTTCATCGTTAATTTCGCAAATGAAAATGGCACGTCTAATTTCAACTCTTTAGTTGCATTTCTGTGTTCTGCAGAGCGATCCGCTGAGTATTTTTTACTTCAAGTTTAATAGTTGCTAATTTTCGAACTAATGATCAGATGTTACTTTTTTTTTATTCCATTGTATTTCCTGCATATTTTTTTTTCACCCCTTACTAACTTCTAAATTCTAAGTCTTAAAGCTTTTACTAAATTCGAAGTCTTGAATTATTTTTAATAATGTTACTTATCCCTTAATCACTTTTTTTAATTTGTTAATTTGCCAAGTAGCGTTTTGGGCATAGAGTTTCTGATTTGATTGTGGGTATTTTCTTATATTAAAAAAATTGGTTTCTTCGCCAAGCTGTTTTCTTTGGGAAATATTTGATATTGAGTCTTATAATACGTTATCTTTATTACAGTAAATGACATCATTTATATACGCTGAAATAAATAATGAAATATATTAAAGTAATATAACTTATTATAATATAAATTATAATATAAATTATAATAATGTAATATACAAATTTTTTAATTTAATGTATGTTATATTAACATCATGTAAGCAGTTTTTAATGTAAAATGTGTTTCAGAACGAATACAGTTTAAATTGCGATGCTTATGAAATGATGAAAAATGTTAATTTAAACTGCAATTGAAATGTGGCAATGATTATAACTAATATAATTATAATTTACAATGCAATACAATTGAGTAAAAATTCAATAAATTTATGAAACGAATACCGAAAATTTAGAAATAATTTTGTTGCTCAAAAATATTACGGTTTTCTTCTTTGATTTCTAAAATTGAAGGCTACCTTATTTTTGTCGCATAAATGAACTGCTTACGTCTTAACCTTGACCATGTTTTCGTTAAGCGATCCTTCAAAGACTAGTTTGACCAAGGAAAAAAAATTGTTGGGACTTGGAAATGAAGCTTTCATTTTTATTGCAAACAAGCTATTCTTCTATGAAGTCGTGAAGCTATTTTGAAATTAGAAAACTCATATTTAAATTAGTGGAAATTACTTATACGCAGTTCAAAATATCGTTTTTTCCATTACGCAATTGATAAAAAATTACTAATAATTCTTTTTTTAATAACAATTACAATGAAATGTTTGGTTTTGATTCATTAAAAATTTAATATTTAAAATTAAAGTTTAAAATATCGTAACTCCACACAAATAGCTAAATTTTTCTTACTATTAAAATATATATATATATATATATATACAGAGCTTATCCACAGTTCCNTTTTTTAAATCAAAGTGATTTATTTTAAATTTAGCAATAATCAATTTCCTATTTATAGAGAAATATATATATATATATATATATATATATATATTGGACTTGGAATTGCATGATAAAACATTTCTGGTTATATAAAACGATAATTCTGGTAATTATACGAATATTTACGGTATTTAAACTAGTCATTTGATAATTTTTCCCTTCGTTAAAACAACGGTTTACCGGAAATTACGGTTTTCTAAACCAAAGTTCTTACTATCGTGCATTTAGTAAAAATATGAAATTAGAAAGTAGACTTAACTGAATAAATTCCCTTCATACTTTAACTATCATGATAAAATTACCAAATTTTCCTTCAAAATGATCATTCATCTTACCATTTTGTTTGGTAATTTTAACCATTTAATGTCTGAGTCTTTCTTGAATAGAATACTTATAGACCATATAATTTGTTTACTCTTTTTGATTTATTTAAAACGGTGATTTATTTAAATGACTGATAAGAGCAAGGTGACAGTTAATTATTTATTTTCCTAACATATTTATAAATTATAACAGATAAAAAATAGGCTTAAAGTAGGCTTTCAAGTGTTTTAAAGATACTAAATTAGATTAGAGAAAGCATGGTGAGCAAGCACAAGTTGGATAAAGGAAGACATAACTATACATACAGTGTTATAGTAAGATATGATCCAACTACAGTCATGCTTCAGAGCTGTTAGTGGAACAGCGATACTGCACGATGAGGAAGACCTTTAAGATTTATTGCAAGTAAGATTACCATGCATTAATGGGGTCTCTGTTTTGTGCTATCTGTTCCTCAGTTTGACGAGAGACAAACCAATTTTTGAATTAAGTACAAGTGTCTGCAATTATATCTGATTCAAATTTATTTACTTATTTATTGTTACACATCAAGTTTTACGGTTGGATTCGAATCCGCTAACTACATTTTGCATAGAATTTGACGGTAAGGCAAAACTGCTTGACCAGGGAGGCTCCTGTTTAACTAATGATTTAAAAATAAACTTTACTATTCTAAGTATTTATTTATTGCTACCCTTGCATATGAAAGCTTGTGTGCTCATTACAAATCACTGTTTATAATCTCTAGTCAAATTGTAAAAGCAGATAGATATTCAAGTTGAGGAACAGAAGGAAATTACAAAGATACAACTATTGTAGTGGGGAGCTGGTTCGAATTCTATCGTATTCTTCGATATAACTTTGTGCTCTCTGTATCTTGTGCTGTCAATATTTTGACTTGTGTACACAAGCCGAGAGCCGTGTAGATCAGTGGTTTGAGAATTGGACTTCAGACAGGAGCGGCCGGGGTTCGATCCTCCACTCCGCTAAAACCCATCGATTACAGGCGATATACGTGCTCGAAAAATTTGTGGATTTGAAAGTCCTGTGGTTGGTCGTTGAACAGTACCATAGGTACAGGGATCTGGAAAAAACTTTCTTCCTATTCAGGTCTATGTCTAAATTGAGGAAGTGACCTCACGAATGAGATTCCTTTTGCGGAAAATCAAAATTGCGATGGCATGTCTTCGGATCATCCTCAAGGATATTTCCCAGACCATTGCCAATAGTCTTTTGTGGAGCTCTAGTGCGAAGTACCTACCTGTCTATATAAGCCGAACTTTGTAATGAGTACTCAGGTCTGCATGTGTATAGATAAATATAAATAAATAAATATAAATAAATAAATATCAGTAAATAAATATAAATAAATAAGTAAATAAAAATAAATAAATGTAAATAAATAAATATAAATAAATAAATAAAAATAAATAAATATAAATAAATAAATATAAATAAATAAATATAAATAAATATAAATAAATAAATATAAATAAATAAATATAAATAAATATAAATAAACAGCGGGTTGTGGTGGGATTCAAACCCACTATCTCAACACTTCCATTTTGGGAAGTTGAGACAGCCTTAATGCGTAACAGGGAAGTTTCTGACATAGCTTACCATTCGTTATAGTTTCAATGGTTGGCTATTAGCCTATATAAAAATGTTAAAAAACAAAGCTAACAAGCGTTTACTAAATAAAAAGCAGGTTATGAAACTAAACATTTTTGCGAAATTTTATATTATACTGGTACTGTCAAAATTATCTACTTTTCTGGTCAATTTACCAAATTTTACTAAATTTACTACTAAAAAGCATGATGATAAAATCATATTTTTACTGCAAATTTTTCTAAGTATCATTATCAAAGCGCTATGATAAAAATTACCATATTTTTTGGTGTTTCTATAGAGCCAGAAAATATCGTAGTTTTTACCATATTCTGGTAGTTTTGACCATCCCTTTTTTTCTCAGTGTAATATCAGGATTATTAGGTTTAGTATATATTAAATATATGCAATACATATGTATTTAATTCTTAGTTAGATTTAATTTTTGAAGAATTAAATGCTGAGAAAAATATTTTTAAACTTTTTTTTCAATTACACACAGTCAAGGATGCTTGAAATCGAGCACAAATATGACGATTACTGTTGAACAACGTATTTATTTATTCATTTTAATATATTTATCTCTAAAACAAGATGTAATTATTACATATTGAAAATAAAGTAATTTCCATAATTTTCGAGGACACAGATTTAGAGCAGAAAATTCAAAATGGCGGAATATAAAAGGAAAATTAAAGAAAAAGAAAATCAAAATTCAAAAAAAATTCTTCATTTACCAATCACCCTGATTGTTTCTCATTCAATACTGTTTTCTTTAAAATCGACGTTCTTTCAAAAACAAAAAACATGTAATCAATATATGTAATTATTATAATTTCATGCTAGCAAATTTTGTCCGTATGTTAATTGTAACAAAATGAATGATAACCTGGATTTAAAGAAATAACACTGGATAACCTTTCTTTTGTCACATTTATACGAATACTTAATGCTAATTCAGATGAGGGGATTTAAAATTTAAAATTAGTTTTGCTTCCAAAGCTACAGACTTTTTTTTAAAACGATAAATTTAGTCTATATTTTTGTAGAAATGTTCAAATTTACAGGTTTACCTATAACAGGGAGTTGCGTAAATGTTGCGACAAACTTCTAATGGATTTAGCACTAAAATTGCATAGGAACCCATTCCCAGAAAGGTCGTCGTACGCGACTAGGATAACTTCCCTATTATGACCTGCTCCGAAGCACGCGAAGAAACAGTTTATAACAGGGAAGAGACCGGAGCGGCGTATGACTACAGTCCCGGTAATGACTTCCTATGTAATTTTAATCCTGATGATGTGCCCTAAGTTTGTCGCTACATTATGCAAATCCCTGTTATATATAATGTTTTTAAACTTCACTCATCGACTTCACTCACGAACTTATGTCAACGTTTTGACATAAAACAGACTGAAAATGTTACTAAAATAACTGTAGCTTGGTGGAAGAAACTGATCACAGATTTGAAATCAGTGATATGAAAGTATATAAGGTCTGTTAAAAAGTCTCATACAACAGGAAAAGAAATCAACTGTATTTAAAAAAAATATTAATCTTAAGTAAAATAGAAGGAGTGACAGAATAAGAAAAAAATAAAAGAAAAAGTTTTTTTGCTAACTAACGAAATATAAGTAGCGTCATTTTATCATATCAAATAGGAAACGGTTTTTTATCTCTTTTGAATACTTGAATTGAGTTTTCTTATATTTTAAAAAATTGCATGACAAATGCTAAGATTTTATAACTTGCGACTTTTAATCTTCCTCTTATTTTTTTTAAAAATAAAAATCTCAAGAGGGATATAAAGTTTTCTACAACAATGGATAAATAGTCATTATTTAAAGCAAAGGGAGCGAGAAAATTTGCGAAAACAGCACTCTTAAGTGTATAAAAGATTTTGTAGCAAATATTTTGAAAGTTTTAAATGCTTAATGGAGTTTCTATACATATTTTGCAATAGTGGAGGAAACTATTACTTTGAAATGTGTATTTATTTTGTTATTGATATTTTACAATCATTTAACTGCAATTTTTTGATTGAACAAAGAAAGTTTTTATTATGATATAAAAATAACTCAAAAACATTTAAGACGATTTTAATTACCTACATTATATAGAAGAAATTACTGTAAAATATTTTTATAGAAGTACATTATGAAATACTTATTTAGAGAAATATAAAAGATAAATGCTTGATAGAGAATAATATTCATTTGTACTTTGTAACATAAAAACATATATTTATTTAAATGACGTTTTCAAGTAAATTGTTAAAATCTTGATCGCTAAAATTTTAAAAAGTTTCAAGTCTCTTATGTTCACTAAAATATAATGCTTTTTTAAAATTTCCAAAGAGCATAATTTTTGCAAACTTTTTTTAATGTTAAATCTGATTTATATTTGTTTCTTTTTCTTTTAAGTTAGTTTTCAAACCGACTGCTTAATAGAATTAGGAAGTGGTTACGTTTTAAACACTTTAAAGCTCAAGTAATATTTTAAATTGGAATACCTTAATCACTCTCAGTTATAGCGAAGAGTTTAAATTTATCCAAAATGTTGCATTCAAAGCAGAGAAGATAATTTGATATACGCACATTTGAGCCGGGATATGTAATATGCTAGTAGTTTACAGCACATATATTGTCGTAATGCAAATTTAATTTTAAGGATGCGTTGTAAATTTAATTCCGACGATGCGACCATAAAATATGGTTTTATATATTTATAGTAAAGTCCTAAGCGGAAGTTATTCGACCAAAAGTTCTTTCCAAAATGGTTTAATTCAGTTTTGATGGAATTTTAGAGAATTTTATAAGGCCTTGTATATAGCTCTCTTTATAAATTTTCTTTTGTTTCGCATATGTACGTATATGAAGCACAAGAAAATTATACCAAGTAGTTTTGAAATGATTTGTTAATAAATTGTATAATTTCAGCATTTGAATAAAACGTATGACGCTGATGTTCCATTGGTGCTAATGAATTCTTTTAACACTGATGATGATACTCATAAAGTTCTTCCCAAATATCGGGGTCTTCGAATTAAAATTTATACTTTTAATCAAAGCAGGTAAGAAATTCTTTAGGATTAATATTATAAGATTTTATTACTGTAGTAAAGAAATTATAGTGGGATTAATAAATTTTTTCTTCAATTGTGTTAGAGTATGTATGTTTTTTATTTTATGTTACATTTACAAATATAAATTGAAAAGTGCTACACTTATATTACTCGAAGCCTCCTTATTTTTTTAATATAAGCAGTGATCATTAATTACTAAGATCATAAAGAGGAACAGTAATTTAAGGGGCGGGCCATTTATTTCTTAAACGATTGACGCAAGTTCGAATCCCGCCTTGTTCATGTCTTGATTCTAGTATGTGCTGGTCATTTCACTGAAATAAAACACAATTTTTGATGACTTCGAAATGGATATATTTGTTGATTTTTAGTTGACTATGGAATTTTTATTGAACGGAATGTTTACACGAGGCTTCTTCTTCATAAAACGCAAATTCATATTGCGTCAATTGATTATTAAAAACATTATTTTATCATGAATTTTACAGTTAAAACACTGCAAAGAATTCAGGAAATATTTAAGGTTAATATAACTACAAAAAGTAGTCATTACAATACTATTTTTTTACAGAAAATTGTATGTAGAAGGTATTCTAGATAAAAGTTTATAGGGGGCCCTGTAAGTTTCTTTCTCATCTTAATATTACATATTCGTATATGACGTCATAATAATTTCTCTAATATTCGTATAATAATTTCTTATATAACGTCACTGCTGGCTCTTCTAATTATTTTATCCGAACTATTCACACGATGTGATGGGATGGTACAGGGTTCAGAGCTGTAGTTATTTAAATAGGTTCTGGGTTTAAATCCACATGATAGCTACGTTGTTTAACAATAATATTTTCCTATTGTTTGCTATTGTGAAAATTTACGGTAAATATTTAATTTCCAGCAAAAAATATTGGTATCTTAAAAGCCGAATCTTTTTATCGGAAATTATTTGAAGTTTAAGTCAAAACTATAAAGGTCCTGAAATTACATGGGTCGTAGGTCTAAAAGTGATAAAAGGAAATATAAAAGTACCGGTAAATATTGCTTCACGTTATGTTATTAGTACCCAGTATTACTATCATTAAATATGTTTTTTTTACTAAAGACGCCATGTATTTAAAGCCATATTACTTAATATTTTTATAGCTATTATGTTATTCGTTGTTAATATCATTATTTCATACTATGATAAGTATTTATATTGTGTAATTGTAAAGCTGTTAGAAAAACAATTATAGGGTGCATATTTTCTATATAAATTTTCACTTTACTCAAAAAACAAGCAAACATATTATTACACATTAGAAATGCACTTTTAATAAACTGACACATTTGACTAGTTGAAATAACATTTACTTGTTACATTTACTTGAACATTTTATTGTTATGTAGCATTAAATATTAAAAAAAAATGCTTTCATATCTAGCGCAACATTTCCTGTAATTATAAAATATACAATTATTAAAATATTATTGACATTTCCTGAACATACTTTTCAGCTACAACGAAATATCCTTATTGTACAAATGACAGAAAATACTTGCCAAATGTCCTAATTTCTCAATGAAACCAACAAATGTCGACATTTAATATTCACTGGATGTTAATGTTTAATATATGCTTGCTTAATATCGTTATTTCTCACTAGCAAATGTCGATATTTAGAAGTGTGACGGTAAATGTTGGATAAAATATTTTTGTTACTTATCAAAGTTCCTTATTATCTAACCTTTATTAAACCTTTATTATTTTTATTAAATTTCTAATTATTTTATTTGTTATATCATACTCCTGAAACCTTGTATCTAATATATTGGATAACATTTGGTTAAATTTTTCTCTGAAAAAAAATAATGTATATTTTTCCATTCAGATAATATTTGGCTTTTCAGGCGGGTAACATTTGATTCTGATAACATTCAGTTCATATGGTAAACCATTTTCATATGCACGGGATAATTACCAATTAAATGGTCTAAATACTTTATATTTTGGTTTTATTAACAAGAATTTTTCCTCTTCTATATTAATGTATGGTAATTTTACCAAAATGTTTTTCCGCTTCCATTATATTATTTAATAGTAGTATTTTGCTAATTATTAATTATTTTTTTTATTTAATTGAATAAATTATTTCTTACCTACATTAGTAAAGTGATACTTAATATACCCTTAAGGGCAGATTTATAAGTGAAAAAAAATAATTACAATATTTTTTTTAAATCCCAGATTCGTCATCAACGCATACTTAATGTTGATATCTGCTAGGTAAACACGAAATAACGATAGTTCACAGACATTTGGGAACTAAGGCAACTACGTGAGCATAAATATTCAATAGATTTAAAATTTTTATGGCAACCTATAAATTTTTCTGTTTTCATGAAGTATAATACAATTGAAATAAAAGTGCTTGTGCGTTCTATATGCACTTTATGTTACTACTAAGTTATCAATAATTTTAAATAAAAATAATTACGTATTATGTACACAACGCGCAAAATAAGAAACTGAACCTCTTCATAACTTTTGATTATTACGCGCTAAGATGCAATCGTAATCGTTCGAAGAACTTAATATTAAATATAATAATTAATTTGTGCAGACGATCTTTCTTTCTCTTCGAAATCAGACACAAAAGCGTACTTTCTCTGAATAAATAACCTTCTTCTGTTGAATTTAGGTCCATGTCCCTCAAAATATAAAGCGTAGAGAGATTTGGAAAATATGGTTCCTATATGGTTCCTTAGAGAGTAGTCGAAAGTTTGGACTCATGGAATGTTAATTTCCCTTTTTGAGCATTCCACCATCTCAAAGACGTCGAATTTTTAAATTCTTATTTCTCAAGAATTTGAAGACAGATTCAATTCGAATTTTGAATTTTATCATTTAAAACTATACAGATTAAAATGGAGCTAAAACGCCTTACTGTACCAAAATTGTTCGACTTTAGTAACTCAACATTATGGGTACTTTAAATTGCTATTGAAGGTAGTTTAAGGGGTACTTTAAGGATGTATTTAGGGTACTTTAGGATTAAGGATACTTTAAGGGGTACTGGTTGTATTTGAGGGTAATTTAGATTGCTCTCTACCAAACTGTTGGGACTGTATCTTTCAGATTGCGGGTATTCTACCCTCTTTTCAGGATCCGTCGAAATAAAGAATAAAAAAAATTATGTTTATTCTGACGAAATACGTTTTTTTGTCTGATTTCTTAATTAAAATTATCATCAACACTAATTAATTAGCATATTTAAGGTTACGTTTTCAAACCCTTAAGATAACATCTTTTTACGTGCTAATTTGATATAAAGTTATCAAGACATTTTTCTTCTTAATTTTGCACACTAATACCCATTTTAGTTACTATGAACTATCACAGCTTTAAAATAATCTTTTACATTCTGTACACACTTATATAATGCAGTTTACATATCCAACAACTAATTATTTTATTTTTAACTCAAGAAGCACTTCAATGAACTGGTGAGCTGTTTTGAAATTTTCTGTTAACTATTGGATCACTAATTTGAGAATAGTTTCCTCGGTCAACGGGGGTGGAATAGCTAACTCGCATCTTACTTGCTAATGCCGATTTAATTTACAGCGAGGTTTGTGATAACATGTCATTCAAAAACTTTCTTGTTAATTAGCATGAAATATTCAAATTATAGTTCTTTCATATCTCGTACAATCTTTTCGGTGACTATCAAATATTAAATTATTAAAATGGCATTGTCACATTTATTTGAAAGTTACAGTTTACACTTCATTTGAGTTCACATCCGAAACAAAAAAAAAAAAAAAACGCACAACCCTGAATAACTTTTGATCTAATGATCGGATCTTTGCGTTCTAGGACTATCTTAAAGGTTTGAGGGGATGACATCAAATATGCTAATTAATTAATGCAGACGATTTTTTAAGTTACAAAAACGTACTTTCTCTGAATAAACATACCTTTTTTTCGACTGATTTGGATTTCTTACTCCTAAAGGATTGGGGGTAGCCACGATCTGGGAAGTATAGTCCCAATAGTTTGGTCACGAGATCGATCCAAAGTTTGAACCCACTAATGTTAATGTTATTTTTTGGGTATTTCGCGATATCTTGAAAATTTTTTGAGCGAATTGAAAGATTTTGGCACACATCTATAAAATTCGTTTATCCAAAAATAATTCGTTTATTCAGGCAAAAAATAAATTTTAGTAAATGTTTACTATTTTTTATTACTTTTTCTTAATAACAGTAGCAAATATTTTGAACAGTAAGGTATATAAAGTTTTACATAATTTTGAAGTATTTAATTTTATATGACAAGAAACAAAATTTGAGCGAAATCGGTTGAATAGTTACTGAGAAATCGAATTTTAAGCATACCACTTTTTTAAAATTTGATTTTTCAGGAACTTTTCAGCCGATTTCGCTCAATTTGTATTCTGCGATGTAAAATTATATACTTTAAAATGATGTAAAAAACTTATACCTAAAAATTCAAAATTTTTTCGACTATTAATAACCAATCTGAATAGCTTTTGGCCTAATGATCGATCCTCACGTTCGAGGTCTCAATCTCATTGCTTCAAGGGGGGTGACCTCAAGTATGCTAATTAATTAATGCATATGATATTTTAAGTTACGAAATCAGACACAGAAACGTACTTTCTTTGAATAAACATATTTTTTTTTGACAAATTCGGATTAGTCGTATTTTTAAAACTCGATTTCTCAGGAACCTTTTGACCGATTTCGCTCAAATTTTGTATTTTGCAATCTAAAATTACATTCTTTAAAATGATATCAAAACTGTGTACCATACAATTAAAATTTTTCTTACTATTATAAAATAAAATAATATAGATAATAAATATTTACTTAAAAGTTATTTTTTGCACGGAAATATCTTTAGATTAATAAATTTTATAATTATTCGCAAAAATGTTTCAATTCGCTTAAAAAGTTCTCGAGATATGGCGAAATGCGCAAAAAGTAAAATTAACTTTAAGGGGTCCAAATTTTGGATCATTTTTTAACTAAACTATGGGGACTAAATTTCCCAGATTTTGGCTTCCCCCTATATTTTAGTGGTCAGAAATCCGAATCCTTCGGAAAAATAGTTTGTTCAGAAAAAGTACATTGTTAGGTCTGATTTCGTCATAAATTCAAATATTGTCTGCATTATTGTCTGCATATTTTAGGTTATTCCTTCGAACCATTAAGTGTCTTAGAACTTATATGATAAGATCATTAGATCTGATCATTATGATTATTAGATCAAACTAAGATATGATCATTAGATCAAACGTTATCGAGAACGTTTTTTTGCTCACTGTTCATTCTTTGGTAAATTTTTCAGTTGCTATTAAATAACAAAATATTAAAATAACAATACATGAAGTTCTCGTATACAACCTGTACACAATTTTCTAATACAGTTCACATACATTTAACAACTTGTTATTGTATTTTGAATTCCAACAATGCTCCATTGAAATGACGAGTTGTTTTGAAAATTTTCTGCCTACTATCGGATGCCTAATTTGTGAATAGTATCCACGGACAACGGTTCAGGAATCACTAACTCGATATATTTCGTGCTAATGACGATTTAATTTCGATCGAGGTTTACATATCCTTCTGGGAAAATGAGATTTGCACGCCCATCGTCTTTTATTCAAGAGCATATCAGTGGGTGAATACTATAGATAAGTCAGAAAGTATCTGTCAATTATTCGAATAAACAATCTCGATGATTGTTGAATGTTGTTCAACACATTTGTTTCGCTCTTCTCTTCAAAATATATAGAATTGGCTAGTAATTAGTTCACGTAATATGACATAGAGGTTGATATTAATTATTAGAATTTGGTTTAAAGTTAGATTTAGTTGAGTTAAATTTATTTATAAATTGTATTAATTTAAATATGATGCCTAAATTATCATATTTATCATATTATTATATTATATAATTTATCATAACCTACATTAAGTAGGTATTGTTGCAACTATTCATGTTTCGTTTCATTTGTGTGGAATCAGCTAATTTCTGAGTAGATATAGGTTGTTTGTTATAGGATAAAATTTTTGTTGTTTTTTGAATTGGATTAAGTATTATCAATATAAAGGGCCTTTTAGAATATAGTGATAAGCCACACTTTCCCACTTAGTATTGCTACCAGTGTTCACAATTTCCGGAAACTTGTGAACACTGGAACTTTCGGAACTTCCTGCACAAGTTTTTGGATTTGGCACAAGGTAAGAGATAGCAGATAGAATAATAATAAAAAGAATTATTGACTGCATGAGTAGTATGGTATTTGTCGGAAAAAAAACTTACCTAAAAGAGTTGTTATTTTTTGTTATGACGCTTGGACAAGCCAAGCACGTCAGCTATTGGTCTTTGCGTATCAAGTCAAAAAGGCGCGCCTTCCGTTTGACAAGAGAGCACCGCAGGGGTGAAAGTATGTCATAGCTCAAATTCTTTTGGATAGATGTCAGAGCCACTCTTTCGGGAGACCATTTCCACAATTTTGACATAGATCTGAAGAAGAAGGAAATTTTCTATTGATTCCTGTACTCCTGGTATTGATCAGCGACCGACAGCGGATTTTACAAGCATGTATATCGCATGTACATGGTTCCTGAAAAAGAATGCAGCTTATCATAATATTTCCCACCTTAATGCCTTCATATAATGAATATAAAATATTCCATGAAGTCTTTTTTGTTATAACTATGAAATTCGTCAGTAATTTGTTTTGTTATAACTGTTATTTCGTTTGACTCGAATTTATTTATTTAAAACGAATTTATTCTTCTAAATGACCACAAAATTAAAAAAAAAAATGTACAGTTACCTTAGGAATAAGAGGTTAAAGAGGTGGTGTGTTCGTTTTTGAGTTCACTTTAACGGAGTACTGAATTCAGATTCTACTTACCCCGGTAGAATGATCTGACTCCTTGTCACATGAATCGTTGTCAAATATGGTGAAAAAAAGGTTACACATGAAGGGATTGCAAACGAATGTTTAAGGGAGGATAAAGTAAACATAACCTGTCAAATCACTAGTGACGAAAACGACATGAAAACTTTCACAAAGCGTTTGATCCCCTGGTGAAACTTAGAGGTATTTCAAATAGCATTACTCCTCTCCTCCTCTTCTTGCAATAAAACAGGATCGGTGAATTTCGTTTTACAGTTCCACTTTCTTAATAGTGATTGGTTAGGTTTCGAAACTGTTTTTTTTCCCGATTAAATATAAATTTCCCATTCCTAATTTTACGATTTCATTTTTGACAAGGACTCTAAAAATATATATATTAAGAACGGTTGTTACAGAACATCTTGCATCATTTCACTCAACATTAATTATATATAATTTTATTTCCAGGTATCCTCGATTAAACAAAGAAAGTTTGCTTCCCATCGGTCACACTTTGCGAGATCCAGATCCTGAATCGTAAATATTTGTTTTAAACACTTTTGTTAAGAGTAATTTTAATGTCTGTGTCACTGTAAAAATGTTGGTGCATTTTAAACCACGATATTATTGCTATCCTAACCTTGAAACAGGCACACCCTTCACAACAACGTGCAAGATCACGTGCATTTTCTATATTCATTATTGCAAAATGTAGTTTTTAAAATGTAGTAAGTAAGTAATGTCTAAGTATGAATATAATATTTAAAATTTTTAATGCTTCTTTCAAGGTGATTAGCTTAAATGCAGCCTATAAGGAAAATTTAAGCTCCATGAAGTTAGCGCTTGAGTTTATATGTTTTTAATTAAAAAAAAAAAATCTTAGGTTTATTGCATCCGTTCATGATGCAAATAGATGTTAAAAATTATCCAATCTTATATTATTTGATTTTGTTGTGGTAGTACATGATAAAGAAGAATGATATTATTTTCATTAAAAATAGATATAAATACACAGGGTTTGTCTTTATGATTTATCCGGTTTTAAAGGATTGTTTATTTACAATTATATAACGTACAAAAATGGGATGGAAAGATACATACACTTCTCCAAATTTTTAATGTGTTCATTCGTTTGCATCTTTGGGTACTCCTGCTGTTATTGTTGTTGTTCATTTACGTTGCACTAGAGCTGCACAATGGGCTATTGGCGACGGTCTGGGAATGTATATTTTTTGTTCTCCGAAGACATGCCATCACAATTTTGATCCTCTGCAGAGGGGATGGCACCCCTGCTTTTGTAGCCTGACGACCTGCACTCGAAGTCGAGCACTTTACGGTAGAACAGTTTAACGAGGACCAATACCGCACACCCTCGGTCCCCACGCAGGCTGATCCAAGTGGTCACCCACCCGCACACTGACCGTAGCCAGCGATGCTTGACTTCGGTGATCTGCTGGGAACCGTGTCTTAATGATCAGTCCACTGCGGGACTGGGCACTCCTGCAGAAATCCAATTCCGAATACAATGTTTCTAGCTACGTCCTTTAAAGAAGCAATAATGCTTTCCTGCATTGTTGAACATTGGAGGTACATAAACTTAGTCATTCAAATGATCCCTAAGGGGGGCATTAAATGGTATGGCCATAGTATTAGAGAAGCATTATCCAGATCAGCTTATCTTATTTAGCAATGTGTCATTTGCGTATTGAGAAAGGCGAGTCCATTTGTTCTTTAATGAGGTGAAGTGTAGTGCACCCTTTACTTCGTTGCAAGTAAAGAAAAGACCATCGCTGTATAGGATTTAAGTTATTATCTGCGACTGTATATCATTTAGTTATTATCTGTTAGTTATTAAGTTATTATCTGTTTAGTTATTAAGTTATTATCTGCGACTGTATATCTGTTTCATTTAGATATCAAATTATATAAATAGGCTTTCGAAACAATATAAAAACTTTTAAAAGTTAAATTTGTCGGATGGAAAGGAAATTTGTGCTATCTTTTAGTATATTATAGAATTATTAAAAAATGGTAATGGTTTCGTAGTCTTACAGAAATCTTAGACTTGGCGATATATTTTGACGGAGAAAATTTGCTCTTGAAATGAAAAAAAAAACAGCTATATGGCGTTGCAAGAGCATTGGATTTGATTGGTCTGCTAAAATTGGCGCATCTTATGCTAACAAGATCTTAACAAATCAAATGCGAGATAAGGATTTTTTTACTTTTACTTTGCTATCGAAGAAAATCGTCACCGAAATGCGAACAGCATTTTTTTAGATTCTTAAGGTTTTGTTGGAGGTTTTACCGAGCTACAAGCCCTTTGTTACTTGTTGAATGTTGTTTTCTGCTTAAGCTTACTTTCAAAATAGCAACATGCAGAAAAACGCCAACACAAAATGTAGCTGGAGGATTCGTTATTACAAAATGTTAAAATGAATCTTTTGATTTTACTAAGGGGTACCTGTAAGTGACGTAGTGTGGGTATTTCAATCCTGATTGGTTGTTGAAGCGAGGTTTTTGTTAACGTTAGCAAATGCTCTTTCTATTCTATTTTGAGTAAGCCAAGACCGTCAAGTATCAATTTTCTTAAGTGACACATTCTATATTCTTTCACAAAGATTTCAATTCTTTCACTATATATTTCTTATTAAACACAAAGACATACACGAAGCCATTTAGAACATAAACAAAATAATTAATCGAGGTTGCCAGGTACACTAGATAAAAATACATCACGATTGCAGTAAAATACATAAAAAATAAATAAATAAATCTCAGTTAAGTAAAAGATGTAGACGAGAAAAAATTATATTTCAATAAATTTTATATTCGATGCTGTGCTGTATTTAAGTAACTTCACTTTAGTTAACATTCTGACTTATGTGACGAAACTTAGCTCAATTTTAACACGCCATTTTGCTTGTAAGTGATCAGCCAGTGCTGACGTCATAGGTCACATATGTGGGTATCTGTGATCTTTTTCTTCTTAAAATGCAAGAACCCAATTGCTTGATTTGATAAAAAAATAAATTTTATTGATTTTAGTTTAAAAAAAAGTCTGGTTGCCTAATTCACTAGGTTCACTAAGAAAGTAGAAATTTTTTCATTAATTTAAAATTTTACTTATTTTTTTTTTCAACTATACAATTTATGTTGGGAGAAATTTCTTTCACTACATCCACTGAATGTTTGTTTTGATTTTGTGGCCGAAGACGATATTCCACAACGTTAGGCGTTTTTAAATTATGGGATTTTGCAAAAATTTTTATTCACATAAATTCAATTTTTTAATAAATTCAAATCTTATGCACGAGAGCCTACGGATCGCAACGTTAGAGTGCGAATTCTCCCTATTATATGATATATCTCCCTATTGTATCATACACTATGGTATCAATAATTCTATCAAAATATAAAATTCTATTTCATAACTATGGGCTTTGAATGAAAATTAATACAATGATTTTAAAATGTTTTACAGATGGTATCCTCCTGGTCATGGGGACTTTTATGAATCATTTTTTAATTCTGGTCTTTTGGAAATGTTCATCAACCACGGGAGAGAATTCTGCTTTGTTTCTAACATTGACAACTTGGGTGCCACAGTTGATCTTAGTATCCTTCCACAGTTCTTTTGTAAAATGACTCTAATTATTAGAATTATAAAGACATGTAAATTATTTTAGTTGTTTCCTTTACTTGCATTAGATATTCTAAATATGCTATTAAATCCTGGTAAATCACATTCTCAAAATGAATTTGTTATGGAAGTTACAGACAAAACAAAAGGAGACGTTAAGGTAAGTTATGGTTCAAGTCTTTAATTTTATGGTTTATTTGTGATCTAAAATTTTAAGATACTTCATTGAAGAGCTTAGTTGTAAAAATATGTTAACTGACATTTTAAAAAAACAAACAAACTCAAATATTTGCGTTTAAAAATGTTTATGTTTGATTCTAAGTATGTATCATTAATTTATCAAGAATCGTATTTGAACTGGGTTATTTTTAGAAGTAAAATATTTTTTTGTAAACATTTTCCCGTTGTTTCTGTGCGAAGAGCTGAGCTAGTTCATGTTCACAAATGTCAGTTAATATTTTGTAAATATTATGCTCTTTTGGTAAGTTATGTTCTTTGTTCTTTTGTAAATATTATGTTCTTTTGTTACGAGTCCTAATGTTAGGAAATGTTTCAAATGTTTTTAACAGCTACTTTCTCCTACATTCAAAAGATGCTTTTTTAAATCCATTAAAGTTCAAATAATATTTCGAAATTTTATGTCACGGATTCTACTGCATGAAACTCTATCTATTGTCAGGTAATATTTTCTGTAGTAAAAGAGTTTTGAAAGCATCTTTTCTTTGTTTATATACATTCAAATATTTCAAAACATATTCAAATTATATACATTCAAAGATTTCTTAAATCGAGAAATTATTTTTTTAGTAATTATGTTAGTTGGTTAACAATTTTTATGCAACCATTTTATTTTATTATAACGATATAAATTCTCAATATCGTATAAAATGTGTAAGTTTATAACGTTAAAAAATTATTTTGAATTTAATTAAATGTAAAACATTTCAACAAAATACAAATATTTAAAAAAAATTTGATATAAATAAAATAAAAAACTACTTGGGAATCACTAAGCATATATCGGTATTATTGCAATAAATGACTATTTAATTGCAGAAGTAAATGAGAAAAATATGTGTAAACCACGAAATGGAGGCAATATTTAATTAAATACGTGTAATTGATTTGCATTTTTTAAGGTTGAACATAATATTTTTGAATGTGAATATTTTATTTAGAGTTAGAAAGCGTGTAAAGAACTATGTAAGAATATCTTTATCAGATATAGACGAAGATAATTTGAGCTTTTTTTTTAAGAAAAGTTTAGACTACCTCCGTTTTGAATTTTAAAATAGAAAAGCATAAAACATGTTGGTGGTAAATGAAGAAAATATTTTCAATTTCTATATCATGAAACATCTCAAAATAAATTTGAAAAAACATACTAATATTATATTTTATATTTATATTATATTTTATTTTTTACCAATCAGTTACAATATTCACTGCTTTTAAAAGCTTAAAATATTTATTTTAATTCAACTGTACGGAAAGAGAGGAATGTATTTGAAAAATACCTAACACAATAGGGTTTTCAAATATTAATAATTTTTTTATGTTTTAATATGTTTTACTTTAAAAAACATTCTTCATGCATGTAAAATAAATAAACAGAGTAATTTTTTCGTTATAGTAAACTAATACATTATCTTTAGTTTCTTCAGATACCAATCCTAATGATCTTAGTCATTTCTAGCAATACAATGACTTAAAATAAAAACAAAAAAAGTTTTCGATATGTTTGAAAACCCGTTACTTTTTATAGTATCCTTTTATATATAATTGAAGCACTAATAACACTGTACCCCATTTAGAATGATTTATGACTATTATTTTTGTAACATTTAACTTAAATTACAGATTAAATGGAACTTTTAAGACTAATTTCTTTTTGTTGTTGTTAATATATCAAGTTTTTATTGCTTTCTTTCCAAATCTACTAACTGATCATAGTTTCAGTAAAAGCCATTGTAATAATCGCTGAAGAATGGTTACCAGACAATTTGCTGTATAAGAGTTTTTTCGAGAATGTTATCGCATTGGAAATTTTTTTCTTAAAATCTTAAATTTTGGCTGTAATTCGCAACAATGCTGATATTGTTTTTGACAAAAAACAATTTCAATATTTGTAAATTAAAGCAGTTTTGTAAAAAAAATTTATGTGTGAAATTTCTTTGAGAAATGTTTACAGGGAAAACGTTTTTTAAAATCTTTATTTTTTTGCAAGTATTTCAAACATTGTTCATGTCTTGGAATTGCTTTTATCAAAGCCATCTACAATATTTGTAAATTGAAGCAGTTTTGCCAATAGAGCATACGTATTAAAATTTTTCCAAGAATGTTATTGCATAAATTTTTTTTAAATTTTAAGTTTTTGCATTTTTTTGTAACTGTGTTCGTGTTTTAATACTGTTCTTCTCACTGAACTACTAATACCATATTTGTGAATTAAAGCAGTTTTGTAAGAAAAAAAGTTATGTATAATTTCTTTTAGAAATATTATTTTATATGGATAACGTTTTCAAAATTTTATTTTTCTACAAAAATTTCCAACAATATTCATGTTTTGGAATTGTTTTTCTTTAAAATGAACTACAATATTTGTAAATTATATTAGTTTTTTTTAATAAAACATGTGAGTGAAATTTTTTTCAGAAATGTTATTACACTGAAAAAATTTAAATTGTTTGCAGTATTTTTGTAGCAACGTTCGTGTTTTAGTATTATTTTTGTTTACTAAACTATTTTAATATTTGAAACAGCATGATTTTACAACGAGGCAGTTGGCTGCCAAAACATGTTATTTTTTTACCAGTCACTGTGTTGTCTTTACTTACCAGATAATATGAGATTAAGTACTAATGAGTTAATTATAAATATGTGGAAAATCTAGTCTTATTGCTTAATAAAATTTTGAGACTCTTCACCCCTTAGTTTCACACGGCAATCTAACCGGTTTTAATATTTTCTGTCTTTTCTTTCAGTAGTGATTCGCAAGATTTTGATAGTGCTTTTGTTTTTTCTTGACTTAAATATCAATTAATGATCCCTAATATATATGCTTTCTTAACCTCATTTTTGACAAAGATTCTAAAACTACGTACCAAAGGCGGCCTTTACAAAACATGCTATGTACTCTCTGTGGCGTGTAACAAAGGAATGAGTTTTGTTATTATAAAAATAGAAAGCCAATTTAAAATTTTTGTTATAAACTATGCTATTTAATTATCAAATTAATTGACTTAATGTCTAACAATATTTTTTACATATATATGAAAGGGTGGAACACTTATTCATTATGAGAACAAGCTTAGACTCCTCGAAATACCTCAAGTGCCAAAAGATAAAGTAAGTAACCGATTATCTTCCTATTTTAATATTTTTAAGTAGCTATTTCTAAAAGTTATTTTTCTCATCTTTGCTACCGTAACAAATATTCCAAAATGAAATAATTGTTAATTATTTATTTAGATCTAAATGCATTTCAGTTGACTACTTTTAGCCAACATATCATATTTCTAAAATTAAATGCCAGTTTTACTGTGATACTGTTATCTCACTTTCGTGTGTTGGAAAGTGAAATCACGCTGTTTCGACAGCTTTCCGACTAGCTATAGCAATCAAATTTTTCTGGAGGTGTTTGATAAAAGTACAAACTTTAATAATTTTCTTCCGTTACTATCAAAATTATTAGTCATTTTATCAACAAATCGAATTTGTCTCTGTTCTAATTTCTAACTAACTAGAGAGCTCTGATCAGATTTGCATCTCTTTGACTGATTAAAATGAGCGCCACTTGATGCATGAAACTAATCAAAAAACCTTTTAAAAAGGCATTTTGTAAATATGAAACTATTCTTGAAACATTTTTTCATTAAATATCTATAGAATAAAACAATTTTTATTATAAACTTAAAATATTTTGATTATTGACGTAGCTATTTTGCTCATACGAGGTAAAAAAAAAGAACTATTATCGTTTCTTTTACCATTATTAAATTTAATTCACCAAAAGAAAAAAAAATATTGCATAAATATTAAATGAAGATTATTATTAGTAAATTGTGAGTAATAAAATTTGTTATAATGATAAGAACAAATTCTTTACTGTGCAAATTCTGTAACATCGTATTATTGTCTAAAAAATATTTAATAAGTAAGATTATTGTGATTATTCTATGAATTAAAAATGGAACTAGTTTTAGAAAATGCTAAAGACAAATTAAAAAACAGAAGTTACGTTTGCCGTCAAAATGTGTTACAAGATAAGATTGTCATGAATGATAAAAAGGCTTACAAACAAACAAGTTTAATCTTTTGATAAAAATAAGCTGGAATATTAAATTCGTTTGATAAATGAGAATTTAAAGTTAAGATTACGAAACAACAAAATTTTCCAAAAAGCATTAAAGAACTAACATAACATTTATTTCTTAATCTTTCTCTGTTTTAATAAACAGTTTCTAGAATTCGTGAGTCGAGATTACGGAAGTTAAATCCTCAAAGATTTATGCTAGCAGCTAGAACTAACTCATTCATTAATTATTCGTTTGTGGAGCTCAACTTTACAGATTATGTCTTATATATCACTAATTTCTCTAATTCTTTTCGCAATTTTGTTTAAAGTTTTAATTTTAGCTTACTTTCAAATATAGATTATTCATTCTATTTGTCCGCATACTTATTAAATTCCAATTTGTGTTTGGTTTTCATATTTTGAAATTTTATATATCGGAATTTGAAATTAACGGTTAAGCCTGGGGTTGTTAGTCTAAAATATTAACTCCAAAACCTTTTATTATTAATAAAATACACAAAGATCTGAGATGGGTTATAGAGTTAAGTTAAAATAAACAGGTTAAAGTGCTTAGTTTCTATCTCTGAATTTTATTGACTCTTCTGTTGGAATAAAAATTTTAATGCGATATTTTAAGTATTTAGAATTTCATAATTTCAAAAATGAAACGTTTGCAATCTTAATATTTACTGGTAGATTTATTAATGTTTTTTTTTCTCTTTATTATTAAGAAAAAAATATAAAAAAATAAAAATGGAACATCTTTATAACTTTTGATTTATGAGTGAATTATTTGGAGCTAAGATGTGATCTGGATGGTTAGAGGGGCTAATATTAATTATGCTAATTATTTAGAGCAGATGAATCTTAAACTATGAAATAATAATAGAATAAAAATTTGAATACAACATTAAAGTATTTAGGAACTTGTTACAAATTTCCTAATATCAAAAATTAAACGTTTGCAAATTCAACATTTAATTTTAGATTAATTTTTGTTTTAAGTTTGATGAAAAAGTAAGGAGAAAAACGGAAAATATTTATAACTTTTTGATTTAATTAGCGGGTTATTTGGAGCTAAGATGTAATCTGGATTGCTAGAGGGAATAACCTTAATTATTCTAATTAGTTAGGGCATATGATATTTTTATCTATGAAATAATAATAGAATAAAAATTTGAATAAAACCTTAAAGTATTTAGAAACTTGTAACGAATTTTCTAAATTCAAGAATGAAACGTTTGCAAATTCAATGTTTAATTTTTGTTTCAAATTATTATTGATGAAAAAGTATGGTAAGAAAACGGAAAATATTCAAAACTTTTTATTCAACAAGTGTATTATTTGAAGCTAAGATGTAATTGGGGCTAATCTTAATTATGCTAAATTAATTAGTGCAGGTCATATTTTAAGTTACGGAATCACATACAGAAACCTTATTTCTCAGATTAATCAAACTTTCCTGACCTTTGAAATATCAAGAAAAAAAAGCCATACTCTTGAAAATGCTGTTGAAAGGCATAGTCATTTAATGTTAATAACAGTGTTTGGCGCATTTCGTCGTATTTCTGAAACTTTTATACATAAAGTGAATCAAAAAATGTTTGCAGACAGTTATAAAATTTGTTTATTCACTGATAATTCTAACTTAGAAATAATTTACATCATTTAGTATTAATCACTTTTAATAATTTAATTTAATAATGATCGAAAAAGTTTTGAAACAGAAATACGAATTTTAACCTTACTTTAATCTATGTCAAAATTCAAAATTTTAACGGTCAAAATTTTTTTACAAATGAAATAGTAAAAGCACGTCACTTTTTGTATGTTTTGACGTAAGAAGTACGAATAAGAAGTCGGAGAAAGTATGTTTTTGTTTCTCATTTCGTAACTTACAATAACATAACATCTACGCAAGTTAATTATCACATTTAAAGTTAAATTAAGGTTGCATCTCAATACTTGAAAGTCTGATAATCGGATTAAAACTTATTTAAAGTGGCTTTCTTTTTTTAATTTTCACTCTGTATACTCTAGTTTTTTCAATTAAGCTAATTAGTAATTTATTAATGTAAGATCAGCTAGCATGTTTTGCTTTAAAATAATCTTCCTTGGTCATATTAAGTTTCTTGCTTATAATAATAGAGCATAAGCATCTATTTTAATCGATTTCCTATTAACATGTTTATTAGTCATTTACATTAAATCTTGCTATTTTTTTTAGGTTGATGAATTTAAAAGTGTAAATAAATTCAAGTAAGTAAAAAATACATATTTTTCTTGACCATTTCATAAATATATATAATTTGAAATGATCAAGTTAAAAAGTAATCCGTAGTAGTTAAGAGTAATTAATTTCATTATTAATTTCATTATAAATTTCTTTTGTGTTTCGATGCATGGAAGCATGGATCTTGGAAAACTGTCGAAGAATTACTCTATGAATTAACTATTTTAAATATCGCTGTTTTAAAAGTATTATTGAAATTTTCTGCTAGTATGATGAAAGAGTAAATGAAATTGTAGGGTGTTCCGTAATCAACGTCCTTAACATATATTGTTGAACTCCCTGTCATAAAGGAAGTTAAAAATGCACACAAATTGGGGGTCACAAGTTAGCAGCAACAGGTATAAATAATAGGTTTAAGTAAATAGCAATAGGTTTAAGTAAATAGCAACAACAACAACAAAAACTTGATTGAAATTTTCCGAATTACTATTGAGGAAGGTGGGTGAAAATACTTCATTAGAATGTTATTATCTTCGTTTGAAACTTGAAGCCGTTTTCTAAGAATCGATCGTCGATCCCTCCCTGTTTCCTTCGGCAAACAAGCAGACTTTTAAATTTTCGAACTAGCTTTCTTCAGAAGTTTATTTGTTAGATTGTGGAAACATTTTTATATTTTCCTCATTTAAATACTAATTTGCGAACATGGATACATTTCTGATTTCATTTTTCTTGGCATGGATTAAAAATATGCATTTGGGGTGGTCATTACATGACACCCTGTTTATCATGAACAGTTTTCTACTATTTGTATCTTAAACGATAATCTAGTTTATAACTTGAATGGAAATTGTGCATGATGCATGATACTATATTTGCATGATGCTATATTAGCGGCATACACTGCAAGAAATTTAAATTACAGTAAAAAGTATGGGCACCCTGAGTGCTGCATCTTTTTAATCCATTTTATCGTAAAATCAATTTCTAACGTAAACTTTTATGCCGTAATCTTTACGGTATTTTAAAATTACAGTGATTCAGTGATTTTATACAAAATATTACTGTATAAAAATTAAAGTTAATCAGATATTTTGTTCCGTAACATTTTGCAATAAAAATGGATTTTTACGGTGAAGAGTATTAGCAGCGTTCTTACAGTAATTTGATTCGGAATTTTTTTACAGTTTATTTAATTCATATTATGATATGACACCTAGCAATATTTTCAATAACGTTGCATTATAATTCTTTTCCAATTATTTTGTGACTTTGAAGACATATATTCTCCTTCTTTCATCTTTCGAACATTCAAGTTAAAAAAAAGTCTGCGCTGAAATATCTGATGAAAATTTTAATTTAAAAACCGTTCTATTTTTAACTTGCAGTTTTTCCTTTGTTATTAATTACTTTAGTTTGGGTTCATTTAACATAACCATTAATGTATTTTTTAATTTGCATTGAAAAAAAAACTGGACAAAAAAATTGAATTAATACATTAATGTAATGTAAATAAATGTAAATTAACATATGAACTATTTTAAGTTTAGATCCCCAGCTTCCATTTACTTATTCTCAATGCATAATTCTCAATACATTTCGTTGCATAAATTTTTAATTACTTAAGTTTAATATTTTTACTGTTCTGAAATGTGAAATAATCCAGCCAGGAAATCTCTGAGGGAATCTTTAAAATATTATTTTTTCTTATGAATGCACTGCTAAATGTTATTAGATATAATTGATTGTTTCAACAGGCTGTCTTAGTTTTTAATTTCCCAGAAGAGTTTTTTCATTTGAAAAAAAAAATTGAACTGGTAAGCTATTTTTTAAACGTACCAAATTAGATTAGGAAATCTTCTAATTTTGTAACTTTTTTTTATGTAAGCGTATAGTAATTTTCTTTTTTCAACATTTTCCCGTTAATTAATTTATCAATACTATTTGTTAGTGCTGACTTACTTCTTGGTATGTTTTTTTTCTCCAATTTTAATGATTTAACAAGAGTGTTTTTACGTGCATTTTCTTTCTTGTTTTTATCGATTTTGATTTCGGCAAAGGAAAAAAAAATCAAAAATGATACTTTTCGGCCTTCTAATTTTTTTAAGGTTCATTACTTTTACGACCTTATTTCCAAAAGGGAATGTAAAAAATAGTTCTCTCCATTAAGTAGTTGATTATATTAGTAAAAGAAAAACGCAACTTTAATAACAACACTAGTATTGGAATGGTATTCTTGTTAAATATTTTTTAATCCCAAGGAAATGTTAAATTGGATGTACAAAAACAATGGAGTTAATTAAGTGTGGAGTTTGTAGAATTTTTATTTTGTTAAAGAAAGTATCACACTTACCTAGAAAATAAATTGTGTAAAATTGAGTTTTTTCCAAAAGTAAATTTGAAGAAGAAGCTGTACTGTAATAAATAGTTTTATCATATTATGCATGTACGTTTATTGAGATATTATATTAGTTCTGACCATACCCGAAATATGTACTGTAAAATATTCTTGTAAAAAGTACCGATATCCTGAGTACCGGTACTTTTTACTTTAAAATCCATTTTTTCTGCAAAATTTTACGAAACAAAAACAAAAAAAAAAAACATATATACCGTGACTTTTTACTGAATCAGATCACTGAATCGCTGTAATTAAATAAATATTACTAAATATTATCGGTAATTTTACGGTTAAAATTGATTTTACGGATGTTGAATCAGGGTGCCAGTATTTTTTACAGTTATAATTTTTCATAGTGTGGTTTCTACTTCAGTTCTTCCGATAATTAAATATTTGAATTATTGCTCATGCAAACCATAATAAACTGAATCTAATTTTTTTAAGGATAGATGTTTAATGTTTAGTACTTTATTTTAATGATTAACTTTTCCGCCTGCAGCTATTTATGTAATTACCGGTAATCTTCATATTTGCTTGGAGGCTGTTCTAAGTGAAACACTAGACACATAATCTTTTTTCCCCTACCAATAAATTAAAATATTTTGAACATATGACTTTAATATATTTGATTGTTGTTGTTGTAGTTCATTTACGTCGCACTAGAGCTGCACAATGGGCTATTGGCGAATGTCTGGGAAGCATCCCTGAGGATGATTCGAAGACATGTCATCACAATTTTGATCCTCTGCAGAGGGGATGGCTTCAGTAGCCCGACGACGGGCTCGCGAAGTCGAGCACTTTACGGTAGAACAGATTAACGAGGACCAATACCGCACACCCTCGGTCCTACGCAGACTGATCCAAGTGGTCACCCACCTGCAAACTGACAGCAGACTGCTTGACTTCGGTGATCTGCTGGAAACCGTGTCTTAACGATCAGCCCAATGCGGGACTAATATATTTGAATTAGGGGGGATAGACCCCTGTTCCCTGCCGCTCACCAATTCAATGGCAATAACTGTTTCTTGGAGTAAAACAGTATTTTTCTAAGAAAGTTAAATAAATTACTTGAAATATATTCATTAAAAAGAATTTGTTAGATCAAGCGTATGCGTCTAAACATTCCCCTTATGATTAATGAACATAAATTTCCTTAGTAATCATTTTTTAAAATAACATTTAAAATTAAAGGTATCCACATTTAAACATTAAAATTAAAAATTAACTAACATTTAAAATTAAAGATATGTTGTTATTAAAAGAAATTGGTGATTTCTCAACCGAATCGAATTTTTTGAGACGCGTTATTCTTGTATTTTGAACCGAAATTAGGTTTTTATTTTTATCGTATTTTGCAAGATTTGCTGCAGTTCTTTAGCACATTTTTAAATGGGAAGTAACTTTTTCACCAACCTTAAAATAAAAGGTGCTTTGAATTTATGTCGTAGAAAGGTTTGTAGATGCTTCATTGTATTAAGTATTTGTTTTTAAATTAAAACGTATTATTAAGAATAAGTTAATTATGGCTTGAAAGAATTTGAATTATTAAATTTTTATACCAACGGAGAGTCATGATGACGCTGGGTTTTAAGCACTGTGATGGTTAACTTGAAGACCACCTTGATGCAGATTTATTGTTACCTAGCTTGTTTAAAAAGTAAAGACGGCAGTCACACAACGATGACCGCAATGACATCATGCTATTGGTCTATAAATTGTAAATATCATTGTAACAAATTGTAAATAAATCTTTGTTCCCCCTTGACTAAGAACTGGTTGTTGTGAGATTGCTTTATCTTTTTTTAAAAAAGCTTTTTTATCTGTAGAAAATTAATAAATTAGTAGTAATAGTTCAATCTGAGTTTTGCTTATTTTTTTTTTAAACAAAAATATTAATTAAGTATTTCTCTAACGCAGTTTAGCTATTGGTTGTTCAAAAATAAAGATAAACTTTTGATTTTAGGATTTTTAACACCAACAACTTGTGGATGAAGTTGAAAACTATCGCTACATTAGTTGAAGATCATGCATTGAATATGGAAATCATAATGAACCCTAAGGTAATAAGTTGTTTTGAATGTGGATAGATAATAATTTAAATAATTATTCCTGTGAATATTTTTCAAGATTTTTCAAGATCAAGATTCAATGACTATACATTGAAAATGATATAAAAAAGCCAAGAAATTTTTCAGACATAAATTAGTAAGATTATTTTCTGAAATATTTTATTCCCAAGAAAGTGTAAAAAACACTAACACTCAGTCAGAAGATTTATTTTTAGATTATGTATTTCAAGAATACTCGTATAAGATGAAATAAAGTAAATTATTTCCTCATAAGAATTATTTTTCAAAATTTATTATCGATCTATTTATCTATCAATCTATCTATCTATCTCATTAAATGTTTCCATTTTCAATATTGCTCTTTTAAGTAATAGGCTATTCACGAGATCTTCAATGATACCTAAAGTTATCTATAATTTTAAGTGAAGATGAATTCGCTTTAAATATATCCTTATTATCATTGTTTTTTTTCGGATCAAAATAAAATAATAGAATATTTTTCGAAAAAATAAAATTCGTTATACATTTTGTCAATAGATGGCATTGCAGCTTTGCATAAGATTTAAGATAAAATGAAGAACTGATTTTGAATCATGGTATTTATGATAAAAAACGGTTATGTGTTATGTTTCTGTAATGGAAAATTTCGTCGCTTATTTTTAATTTAAGTATCGGCATTTTCATTCTTATAAAATGATGTTACGCTTTGAAAAAAAAAAAAAGAAAAAGGAAATAATCTGTCTTAGGTAAAAAGTATATATTTTTAATTTCTTAAGGAAAATTATTTTTTTGTTTTTGTATAAAGTTCAAACACAAAATTGCATTATATTTGTTGGGAATATGTATTAATTCTGTTTTCATTTCAATAATTTATTTTTAAACTACGTCAATTCAAGGTATTTATGATGTTAAAAAACGGTTATGTGTTATGTTTTCGTAATGGAAAATTTCGTCGCTTATTTTTAATTTAAGTATCGGCATTTCGGCATTTTCATTTTTATATTTGATGTATAAAGTTAGTTTTTTCATATAATTTGTATACATTTCTCGTTGGTTAATGCTCAGTTAATCGAACGTGCGCTTTCCTGTCCTGAGGCATAAAAATTTCATACTTGCCATTTTTTTTCCTCCCAAAACTACCTTTGATTTGAGATTTTCGCGGATTTTCTGAGAATTTTCGATGATTTGGCGATTAAAGATTCAACGGAGAAAGAAATTTGCTGTGTTCTGCTGTGGAAACTGGAATATTTTAAAGTAATTTTCAAATTAGCAACAAAATTTGAAAAAAAAAAAAAAAATAAGGTGCGTAAATAAAACGCATATAATAACTGTTAAATAGTGTTTTATACTGAATATTAGATTATTTCATCTGAAATATTTACACACTTGTATGCTAATTTAGACTGCATCATGTTGTTTGTGCAACTGGTGGTTATTTTGCACAAATTTTTTTATATGTTTTCTCAGTTATCAACACCATCTGCTTACAAACTTGTAACTAATTTTTAAACTTGATTAGAGTAAATGATAATGGCTTCTTTAGTAGAATGTGGCATACCTTAAATCTAACTATTTTCGTATATCTTTAATTAATTTTTAAACACTCGGTCTTTCTTATAGCATCTATTATCAATATTACGTAAAGGTGAAAACTTATGGTATCATTTTTCTCCCATTCATTTATTCTTTCAGTGTTTTTTTAGGTTAGAGAAATTTATTGTGGATTATTTTTGTTAATTTATTTATTTATTATCTTAACCTTAATTTTCAGCATCTTGATAATGGAATGAATATCATTCAATTAGAAACAGCTGCAGGAGCAGCAATGAAAGATTTTGAAGGAGCAATAGGTTAGTTGCTCACTATAATATTTTACATTTTCTCTTGTTTAACATTTTCCATACATTTTCATCTCTTCAGCTTATTAATTACAATACACATTGAAACAGTGCTCTCCAACCTTTTTATCACCACGGACAAACCTTTTTATCGCCAACGTTTGATAATTTTATGGCAGACCTTTGAAGGGTGGTGGTGGACGTTGATTGTTTATATTTTTGATGGTTTAAAGTAAAGGATTTTAATTTAATAATTTTAATTTAAAAATTTTAATTTAATAATTTTATTTAATGATTTTTATTTAAATGTGTTTAAACATGCTTTCAAAACGAAATACAGTTACATTGTGACTTTAGGCGACAGTTCTTAGTTTTACGTTTATCTCAGATTGAGTTTTAATTTAGGTTCAGTTAACCTCTGGTTTATAGAAAGTCGCACGGACAAAGAACACCATAGAGAGAAATACACCTCAGTAAATAAAATGGAAATAATTAAATGATCCTTGGGCGGCACAGTACCATTTGATCAACGGACGTGTACCGGTCCCGGAACTGGGGGTTGGGAGCCACTGCATTAAAGGACAATAATTATTCAGTTTAGCTTTATTATTCAAACGTTAAAGATGAGCAGCGATTGTATTTTTTCTTTTCTATATAACTTGAAAGGTTTTTGCTTATGAACATTGTTTGCGTCAAACGGTAAGGCAAATAGTGTCCTGTCACAAGCAATGAACAACTAATTCATATAATGGATTGTGTCTAAGATAGTAACTTTTAAATTTTGCATTCGAATCGGAGGAGAAGGGAACTTCTGAATCAAACATAATTTGAATTCGTTTTCTGTCAGGAGTTTTGAATTGATAGTTACTCGCATTTGCATTACCACTGGGAGGAAAACCACAAAACCCTCGAGGGTTAGATTGAGAATTCATGATTGTTTGCCTATCTCGAGGTAAATCTGACGATAGTGCTATGGGCAGTGCAGGCATGCAAATTTGAAGCACTCAGCTATAGTACAGAATTTGAAATCGGCGTACCTTTGCCAAAAGCAACTACTCTATCCGTTGAGCCACTATGGCTAATTTTTTACAAATGACTTTTTATTAAGTGAACTCATATTTGTGTCATATGAATAGGAGACCTAGAAAAACTTCCATGAAAATCGGATTTCTGAGAGCGTCTGGCAAATATTACACTCTCAGAAAATTAGTTCAATGTTGAACAATAATATTGGTATCCAGAATTTTCATGTTGCTGTAACCTTACTAAGATTTCCTTTTAAATGGGGAGATACTTTCGTTCAAATTGAATAGTGTTTGAACAAATATAAAAACTGTGATGAGGCGATTGAACTTGAGATTCTGTGTCTAACGTAGTGAAATTTTTTTGATTGATTTGGTCAAAATAAAATTTTTTTCGTAGACCTAATATTAGATCATTAACCCTATGTTAGTTTTCTTATTTTTCAAATTAGTTTTAACGATTGAGAGATGCCCGGTGGCTGAGTGGTAGTGCGTCGTGCTCCCGTGTCACAGATTCTGGGTTTGATCCTCTGGCTGGGCAAGGTTGACTCAGCTTTTCATCCCTTCAGTGGGTCGACAAATGAGCATGCTTGGGAACTAAACACTGGGGTTCGCGTTCGGCTGACCACCTAACCGGAACATCTGCTTCCTCACAGCAGAGCCTAAGGTCAAGAAAACTGACATGGGCACAATAGGCCCTGTATGGGCTGTCGCGCCACTGAGCTTGTTTTTTATTTTTTATTAACAATTCAAAAAGTATATTAAGCTCAAAAATAAGTTAAATAACAATATATTTTGCGAAATTGTTGAAATTAAAAATTAGGATTATTCTACCTGGCATTTTTATTTAGTTATTTATGATATTTCACGTAAAAGAAACAGTAAACTGAGAAGTTATTTATAGTATAAATGCAATTTTTGCAAACATATTTGTTCAAGAGCAAACAGTGCGCACGCGTCGTCATTGCATGCGTTACTATAGCAACCGCTGCTATGTAAGTATTTTTTAGAATTCTTTTTTATTTATTTAGTTCATTATGCACTGATTGATAATTTGGTGAGTTTACTCATGAAAGGTGAAACCTTATAAATCCTATAAAATACTACAAGTAATACTTGAACTAATGATTAATATTACTAGTATGAGAATTTCAATCTTTGCCTTGTTAATGTAAGAATAAAAAAATCTAGTCTACAGTTTAATACGAAAAAAAAATTTACATTTTTATATTTAAAAAAAAAAGAGAAAAATCGAGCAAATTTATACGGAAAAATTTCACTTCACTTTAAGAAACAAAGTTGTATGGAGTTTCGGGCAGTGGCATTTATCCTTTAAAAACATCTGTTATAGAATTTGCTGATGTTATACGGTGCACATTTGTCCTGTATTGATAACACTGATTTTTTTCCCTATCTAAATCAGATTTTAAAATATCGAAGAAATATTAAGATGTCAATAAATAAACTAATATCAAATCGGATCCTACAGACATTTCGGACATTTTCTAAAGCCACCTGATAGATTTTCGACATTCACTGATGGATGTCATCAGTCACCGTTTTCAGTCTTAACAGTGGCATATACATTTCTTTCAACAACTGCTGCAGATTTTAAACAAACTGTACCTAAAAATTTATTTAGTGCACAGTTTCTTTATAGATTAAATTTTTAATTTATCGAAAATACTTTACGCCACTAATAGTATAGAGAAGTGTTTGAAATAATAGTAAACGTAGTCGATTTTTTTAAAGAACCTTAGATGTTAATTAATGCTAAAGTTTTTAATTAAAGAGCCTCTCGACATTGCTCAGTATTTTCATTGATTTATTTTCATAAAAACATAAAGCGTTTTATGCTTGTTCTTTAGGGAAGCAATTTTGTTTTATAGTTTTTCTTTTTCATTATTAGATTTACTTATGAGAAGTTTAGTAAGGCCAAATGTTACGCCTAAAGCCAATGGGGAAATTAAGTGAACGCTAGAACATTGATTTTGGGAGAGGGTTTGACGATTCATTCTAGTTGGAGAACAAATTTATTTAGTTTTTTTTAAATCACGCTATATGTTATCCTTAGTTAATCGCATTCAAAATAGTATGAAATTAATGTTTAAGTACATTTAAATTTAAATTTTAATTTGAAACAAAGAGTAAGGGGATTAATCTAAGGGGAAAGTAATTAATTATTTCGTTCTTTTTGTTTTCAAAAGTATTATTAATTATTTTATGAATAAATTTTATTGTGAACTAAAATAATATTTTAAATATTTATGTTATATTTGAACAAAAAATACGAGTTAAATTTACATTCGCTTAATAATGCAATAATTATAGTAAAAGGATGGTTCTTCGGAAAAATTAAAGCCCAAGATATTTTTGGCGAAAAGCTTTGTCATGTTATTACAAATCATACCTGAAAAGTTCTCTACTCTTCTCTGTACACTTTCCCCCTTTTTATTATCCATTGGCTAAATGGGTGTTGTTTTGGGTTTGATGACGTGTGCACCTTATTTGGACGACATAGCACATTTCAATTGTGTTCAAGAGTAACAGTAAACAGTGCGCATGCGTCGTCGTTGCATGTGTTGCTATGGCGACAGCTGCTGTTTGATAATTTTTTCAGAATTCTTTTTTTCACTTTTAATTTAGTTGGTGAGATTATCTTTCAGATATGAGACCAGAGATATCCCATATATACTTCTTGAGTTATGAATAAAAGAGAATTTCATAATTTGAACGATATTTTTGTTTTTATTATTTTAATTAAGAATCAGAAATTCTAACCTATAGTTCAAACTGGATCGTTTTCAATACTAATTCAGGCGAATATCACAAATAAAGAGGGTCCCAAACTGATTGACACGGTCCCAAAGGTTATAGTTGAATCAAGAAAAAGAAAACGATGCCAGGGTCTAAACTTACCGAGGCTGAAAAAGTTCAAGTCAAAGAACGTAGACGGAAATACCTTAAGCGTTACGCACAAGTGGAAAAAAGAAAGAATTTTGCTCATGAACGAAAAAAAAAAAATTGACAGCAATTACTTTGCCAATTAGTAACCTGTGATGGATTTTCATCGATCACAATTTTTCTTTTTTGCCTCTGGGATGAATGCTTGAGCTTCTATAATTATTTTCTGTATCGATTTTTCATTTTATTTTATGATCCGCAATGAACTTCCGGCCCAATTCTGAGTATACGACTATCAAAGTTTAACTCCGTAGCTTTGTAATTTTGATCCCAACCCAGAAGACAAAGGAACTGCTAGAGGTTAAGCTATGGGGGGCAAACTTGCCTTTGTGGAGGACTTTTTGATAGAATTAACCCGCATTTGCGTTGCATGGAGAGGAAAGTCCACGAAACACGAAAATCTCCCATAGTTAGCCTGACTCCAAGGGCACTCTAACCCATGATTCGTCTACCACTGAAGATATTTTACGTCAGCACTGTGGTTGGTGTGACCCGGGTGCAGAATTCAAATCTACCATGGCTGGGATTTGGACCTGGGTCACCTTATTGGGAGGCAAGCGTTCTATACCTTGAGCCACCGCTACTCTCCCCTTATTTAATGTGAAAAGAATTGAATTTTACATAGGAGGGCAAGTGAGACACTATTCCCGATGCATTGTGTCAAGCCCTCTCCCAAAAAAAGTTTACGCATTAATAACTTTTGATCTAATTATATTTTATAACTGTATTTTCTCGTAGTGGTTCGATGGCTTAACCTGAAATATGCGAATCATTAGGAAGAAGATATTTTCCCAATTATATATAATCGATGTTGCAGAAGATATTTTAAGTTATTTAATCAGACATAAACACGTACTTTTCGATGATTTTGGTATTTTGACTATCAAAACATGAGGGATAGTCGCTAGCTGAAAATATTGTTCCAGCAGCTTAGGCAGGAAAACAGTAAAAAGTTTGGACCTCTCAATGTTAATTTCACTTTTTGAGTACTTCGGTGTCTCAAAGAAATTATAATATATTAAAAATTTTTTCTCCGAAAATTTTTCGTTCTGCTTTTTTTGCTAAATATTAATTGAAATGCCCTGAGAAAAAAATTCGTCAAAGTGATGAAATTACTGTCTTAACTTGCTTGAGGATACGAATTTCGTCAAAAATAATACTGCACATCGAGCAATACATTTTGAAACATAGCATAAATTAGGAGGAATATGAATAAACAGGCATAGCAAGGAATTTAGCAATAGAAATCTGTTCTCGAAGCTAGGATACTAACCCCTGTACTATCCTGCTATTCGACACTAGCGTTTTTAAAAATTGGATGATAAATGCATGCTTCAAAATGGCCTGAGTGCATTGAGATGACGTACGAGTTTGAGAGTTCGTGTTATTAAAAAATGAAGTGGTTTCCTGATGGATTAATTGTCAAAAATAACGATACTATTGAAAAATTGATGAGTCGTAAAAAATGTAAAGTTTTATTCCTGAGAGCGTTACTTTATATTAAGACTAAAATGAACACAATATTGGATGTGACAGCAATGATGGGGCCATATATTTTGATTGTCTTTTTTTTCTTCTTATCTTATAGTGCCAAGTCTTCCATTTTTGTTGGTAATAAAGTCATGCTTTATCGAATCGATCTATGTCTGTCTGCTTTCGATTTCCCCAATGGTTTCTCAAAAAATATATACTTTATTTTCTTTCTTTCTGATTAAGTGAAATGTTTACTTCATTCGATTGATTTTACCGAAAGAAAGAATTGCTATAAATGTCGATATTGTTCAATCATCACTTTTCATAACATATTAAAAACAAAATAAGACGGAAATATTTTATTAGTTATCCAGCTCCATTTTAAGCATTAAGGCCTTAACCATGCTAAATTATTTTTCATTAACGATGAATAGCTCAACTGTTACAAATTGATCCACAATGTTAGCGTTTTATTTGTGTATATTTATTCTTTTTTTGATAAAAAAATAATAGCTTAATATTATTTTAAATAGAAAAAAATATATTGTAAAATGTGTACAGAAAGGTTCAAATAAAAATTTGTTTTCTATTTCGAATGTCTTAACAAAAAGACAAACTTTGATGCAGTTTTTCTCAAGAACTAATGAATTGATTTCTAATTTTGTTTTTGCTTTAATTTTTCTTATTCAATTCAAATTTTGACGCGTTTTCTTTTTAATTTTCAATAGCTAAATTCGTTTTCCTTTAAATGCCGTTTGACGTTTTAGTTTCACGTGACATTTCTTTCAGGAATTTTAAGTTCAAAAGCGAAAATTTTCAAATTTATCATCATTTTAATATAGACTGGGTAAGAATATGAAATGCAGAACTCAGTTTATCGGCACCTTGTAACAAAAAGTAACATTATAACTAACTTATTTATTTTATCCCTTTTCTTTTGAGTAGGAACGCATTTTCAAGCATTTTATTTTTGCTCTAATTTTACTTTGTATGATTACTTTTATTGCTTTTTTTGACTCTAAGTACTCTTTATTTCAATTTAGTCAAGTAATCTTTAAAAATCGCTATTCGTGTGCATCTTAAACCACTTCTCAATAAGGAAGTCGGTATAATGGTTATTGTCCATGTACCTTCCTAAAAAAGCATTCGTAGCTTCTTTATATTGAGGCATCCATTAAAATATTAAATTTTTTTATTACATACTAGAGAGCTAAGCCCCCTGCTTGCTACCACTCTCCTCGATTATCGCTTTGCAGTAATTGTTGTTTCTTAGTATACAGTTACAGTTTTTTCTACGATTGTAGAAATAACTTGAAATGCATGTACTTTAAAAGAATATTCTGTTTTGCGTATGCTTATGTCCTCACTTCCCACTTCCAGCATTAATTTCTTTAAATAAATGTTAATTTTGAGTAACATTTGATTGGTAAAAAATATGAAAGATCTCATATTTCTCTTGCGATTCTATTAAGATCATATCTTTAATTCTACTTAGTAATAATTTTTTATAAAAATAAAATTTAAAATTAGAAGTTTCTTGTTATAACAAATCAGGTGAGTTCATTGCGCTATAATAATAAAACAACTCTTTTAGTTTTAAACTTTTAGTTTCAATCAAAATAATCCTCCCAATAAAACAATCAAAAACGTTGAAATAGCAATGTTTCTTTTTATTTTATTAATTTTGTGTTGATGACATTACCCACACATTTTCCCATAGCATAATGTGTTGTGGGAAAACTGGATCCTACCATGTAATTTTCCAACCTGTAAAAATATTCCGACAACAATGGCAAACTTCGTCACCATCATAAGATTTTTAAAAATAGTTAAAAACAAGATTAAGCTCTCAGACAAAATTAATTATAGTTATTCAAAATTAGTATATATTTCTCTTCTTATGAATGGTATTAATTAAATCATTCGGAAACAAATTCCAAACTTCAGGTCTTTGAACAATTTCAAAACTATTTTTGTAACTCTCAGTTAAAGCATTTCCATTGCAGAATTTAATTTTCTTCAAAAAATTTAGCAAAAAAAGTATCAGTAAAGATTAAAAAAGGGCACCAATGGCATGCAGAGAAGAGGCAACGGCCCCAAACACACAGTCAAACATGGCACCCAATTGACGACTAACTATATTGAATATTCAAATATTTTACTAAATTAGGAGTATAACCTTTTTTAGAAACTAAATGTTTTATTTTTCAAGTATTCGGTTTGATATATCTTATGAAGAATAAGTTATGATTTTTAAACAAATTTAATAATTATGTTTAAGTTAATATAACTTCAATTTTGTTTTACAATTACTAAAATTTAAGAATATTTTATTAGAAATAATAAGTTTTTGCAAAAGTATAAACTTTTATGGCATTCATGACTGCTAATAATGCAATCAATTTGTTTCTGAATTCCTAAATTGTATTTGCTTTACGACAAACTGAGTAATAAGTGGTAAAATATTTCGTTTGTCGATTGTCGATTTTAACTAGTTTCGTTTGTCGAAAAATTGTCGATTTTAACTTCATTAAATAAGGAAAAAAAAACATAAAGCAGTGTATTTTATTTAGAAAACAAAATCTTATGTTTTAAAAATTAATAAACGAATTTGGTTTGAATTAGTTTTTTATTCATATTAAATTTGTAAGTTATAGATATACGCCTCAATAAAATCAATAGAATGAGTTGTTTTACAAAATGACTATCGAACAATTAAACTCAAACAAAAAAACATTCTAACTGCCGCATTATGGGTGCGATTTCTACTATTGCATGATTTTAAAGCTACAACCGAAAGAGACATTATAAAGGACATAAAAACATTAAAAGGAAAATACATTGTCAAACATTGTCAAGAGTATTTCCATTTTCAATGAAAATAATAAATAAATACTCAAGGATCCGCAAACGAAAAAAATAGGTTTCAAATATTTCTAAATTTTCTTCATCTGATAATACATTTCCTCGTTTTATTATACCCTTCCAGCGATGTTTTAGTATCGATTCCCTGTGTGGGTGGGGTTTCTAAAATGATGGTTTTTCTTTTTATGTTTCAAATGAGATTGCATAGCTCCCTTGTTTAATGAAGATGTTTCTTTTGATGTTGACAGGCATAAATGTTCCAAGAAGCCGTTTTCTACCAGTGAAGAAGACATCGGATTTGTTGTTGGTAATGAGCAACTTGTATGACATGAAGAATGGAAATTTAACTATGAGCCACGAGAGGGCGTTTCCTACAACACCTTTGGTCAAATTAGGTGATCTTCATTTTATGAAGGTAAATAAATAAAAAAAAAACTGTATTTTAAATTGTGTTTATTGTTTAAATTATAACCATATTAATAAAGTTGTATTAAACGCAAGGCATGTAATATTTCTCCCAGTTTATTTCAAAAAGTATGTTTTAAATATACCTTAATACTGAAGATTGTGATAGGGTTAACGGCCCAAAAAATGACTAAACGAATTAAAAAAAAAATTAAAAGGTTCAAGAAGATAAAAATGTACAGTGCGAAACAAAGAAAAAAAAACACGGATTCTACCCTGAACAACTTTTTATTTCATGATTCGAACTTCATGTTCTAGGACTCAATTTCAATGGTTGGAAGGGGTGACATGAAATATGGTAATTAATTAGAGCAGTATTTTTAGAGCGGTATTTTAAGTTATAAAATCAGACCCCAAAATGTACTTTCTCTGAATAAACACACCTTTTTTTCAACAGATTCGGATTTCAGAACCCCAAAATAAATATAAGGAACAGCAGCAATCTGGGGAATATCGTCCAAATAATTTGATCCAAATGGTGCAGTGTTTCAAACAATTTGGTCAGAAGAGAGATCCAAAGTTTGGATCTCTTATTACTAATGTATTTTTTGCGTATTAGGAGAATTTTGCGTATTTCACCATATTAGGAGAATTTTTTATGTGAACTGAAAAATGTTTGCACAAAGTTATAAAATTCGTTTATCGAAAGATAATTCTATGCAAAAAAAAATTTAGTAAGTATTTATTATTTAAAAATAATCATTTACATCATTTTAAATTATGTAATTTTACCGGGAAAAAATGCAAATTTAAGTGAAATTTGTTGACTATTACCTGTGAAATCAAATTCTAAATTTACTTCTTTTTTAAAATTCGATTTCTTCAGAAACTATTCAAACTGTTTTTGTGTTTGATTTCGTAACTTAAAATATTGTATACACTAATTAATTAGCATATGAAAGGTCATCCCCTTGAACCTTTAAGATTGAGTCTTAGAGCGTGAAGATCCGATCATTAGATCAAAAGTTATTCAGGTAATTATTTTTTTTGGGCTCACTGTACAGTTTAATGTGTCTTGATTAGGATACCAAGTTTATTCTAAAAATTATGTATTCCAGATTTTATGCAGTTGGCTTTAGATTATTGTTAATAGTTGTTTTGTGTATGTTATTGTTTATAGTTGTTTTTAGTATCTTATGGTGAATATTTGTCTTTAGCTGGTTATTTTTAATATTTGAATTTTGTTGATATATGTTACGAATATTTGTCTTAAGAAGGTCATTGTGAATAATTGTCTTCAATTGGTTATAATTTTAATTCAGAAGAAATTTAAAAAAAATGATCATGGGGAAAAAATTAGGTAAACAAAATTTTATCCTCATCAAAGTTAAGCATTTCGCTCAGCTTTTGTTAAAACTGGAAAAAAAAACGCAGTTTTTCCCCAAATGGAGAAAAATTAATTGAACTATTTTTTAATTAATAAAAAACCTAACTAATAAGAATTTTGTGAATAACACCCCTTAAGTAAAAAAAAAATATTTTAACCATGCGTATGGGGGTTGAAAATGTAGGAGATTTTGCAACATTTTATCATTTGGTCATTAAATTGTTGTTCAAAACATCAAATATGTCTTACTCTTTGCATTAAATTACAAAGATTTATTATATACAATAAAATTATATATGCTCAAAAAATATTTCAAAAAATCATAACTTTACGAGTTTTTAAAACATTCTTAATTTTATATATGTGCTTAAAATTATTTTTTTTTACATATTTTTATATTGTCCCTGATTTTGTTTTAACGGCAAGGCGTACAGCAGTGTTTATTCATGAAACAATGTAATCCTTTTATGTCAAGAAAGGCTCTAAATTTTCATTCTTGAGTTATTAAGTTTTTCTTCGTAATTGTTTGCTTTTTATGTTGAAAAAAATACAATGAAGAAATATGAAGCAAAAATGTTAATATATTTTGTTGCATTTCTTCATGCTTTATAAGCAAAGAAAGTAAGTAGTAAGTTTTTTTGTTATAGTAATAATTCATAACCTAATGTGGTGTTTTTTTACTCCTATTAGGTGAGAGATTTCCTTTCGAGGTTTGCTACTATTCCTGACATGTTAGAATTAGATCACTTAACTGTATCGGGAGATGTTACTTTTGGCAGAGGAGTTTCAGTAAAAGTAAGTATTTTTAAAGAAACTGCGGAATTTTCAATCAATTTGAAATATTTTTTTTATATGAATTAAAACTGTTGCGCTAATACAGATTCATTTGATCATATATATCTTTTTTACCAATTGAAATTTTGAACATTTTACGACTAGCTAGAGTACTTAAATCTCTGTTGAAACTATGTGCTTGATGTGAATAAAAATTTCAATTTTTTCGTTACTTTAAAATGCAAAATAACACAGTCAAAAGAAATTTATCCCCAATCAAAATTTTGACTCTTTTTTCGATTTGTTAGGATGAACAGAAACCTAGTGCTGAAGGGCAATGCAAGCTTCAGACGCTTCTGACCACTGCAATAAGAATTTAAATAACGTATAGAATTCATTATCAAGGGAAACTTTAACCACTTTCCGACTAGCTAGAGCTTCCGAATCTGCATTGAAATTGTGTTTCGTCTATCAATGTAAATTATAATTGTTTTATTAATGGTCCAGCAGTGAACTGATCGTAAAGACACGGTGTCCAGTAGAGCACCGAAGTCGAGCATCTTTGGTTCCGGTCAGTGAGTGGGTGGGTGACCACTTTTATTAGCCTGTCTTAGGACCAAGGGTGTACGGTATCGGTCCTCATTGAACTGTTTTACTGTAGAGTGCTTGACTTTACATGCGGGTCGTCAGTCTACCGAAGCGGGGGAGTCATCCCCTCTGCATGTCTTCGGATTATCAGGGATGTTTCCCAGACAGTCGCCACTAGCTCATTGTGTTGTTCTAGTGTGGCGTAAATGAATTATTATTATTACTACTGTTACTAAATGGTACAAGTAATCACTAATCGGAATTTTGGCTAATTTCTGACTAGTTAGAGCCCACAAATCTCAACTGGAGCTGTGTGCTGGATTTTAATACAAGCTTGTAATTAATTATTAGTTGTGAAAAATTTATTGTTCATCAAGATTTCGATAACTTTTCGATTATCTCAAATCTCTACAGGAGATGTGTGTTTGATATCAAGACAAGTTATAATTGTTTTCTAAATGCCACAAGCATAATTTATTGTCAATCACAATTTCAAGAACTTTACGACATAAGTTAACACACACAAAAAAGGTGAAAATAGGACAAAAATATTAATCAAATATATTAAATATAAATAGAATAAGAGTTAGGAAATAATTGTGTTTTTGACAGTCCCAGAAATCAAAATAAGTTCATCCTGCAATAATACACTTCAATCACTACGGGAATTACTCCCACTTTTGAAATTAATGCACCGTACATTTGTCGTTTTAGGTATGGAAGAAATAAAATTTTTTTTTTCATCTTGAAAGCCGTAGTTTTCAGACTTCTTATTCTATTTATTGTTTTACTTCATTATTAAAATTAAATTCTTGAATATTAGAAGGAGCTTGAATAATTTATGATTTACATAAAACACCGTTTATCAGATTATAAAATGAATTAGAATTTCAGATGATACATATTAATTTTACATTGCATTGCAAGCACTATAAAAAATATCAAAGAATTTCGATTAAAAAATTATTTTTATCTCCTTCAATAAGGTATTTTAGTAAAATTGTCAGATGACTTGCAATAAGAAAATAAAGTTTTGACTGTCTTATGAATATTTGAATTTATAACGGCGTTTAAATTGAAAAAAGAAAAATATTTCATCGTGTTTGGTACTTTATCTTTGTACCTTCAGTAAAAAAAAAGTTTTTATTAGTTTGGTTACAGAAAAGTTAATTAAGCTGGGAGAAAAAGTATAGTTGGAGACGTTCTTCAGATTTACGATTCACTAAATTTTGATGTCAAATAAAGTGTTATTAAAGCAGATATAGTACAGACTGTTTGTAATGAAACTGACTCTACTCAGAGACATATGTAGTGCATTTTAATCAAGGGAATGGCTCAAAATTTGGCAAAGAGTCTAAGAACGATACGGGAGGGACCATAAATTTTTTTTAGGTTTTAGTGGTGAGAAATCTGGGACGACAGAGCCTCATTATGTCCTAGGCTTAATAAATCAAGGTTAAGAACTTATGATTTAAGTAAGAAGTTATCAAAATTGTTACCATTTCTCATTTTCTAATTTTTTCTCGGATTTATAAGAATCTTCTTTCCAATTTTTTTTATATTACATGCTTTTAAAGTTTTAAAGACATTTTCTCCATAATAAATAAATAAACAAATAAAAATTGCTAAGTAATTGATAGAAAAATGTCTGAGAAAAGCATGCAAGTCAATAGGCTTTTTTTCATATAAGACTACTTATAAGTAGGTTAATTTCAAAATATTTAGTAAGGGGTCCAAAACATTTGATGAGCCTAGAACCTATATTTTTTTGTCGATTCCCGGGTACTAGTGACTGAATTTACTCCGAAAAATATTGAAACGGTAAGCATGGTACGGAAACGGTAAATGGAACGGTAAAGGTAACGGTGAAACAGTAAACGGAAAGCATGGGAACTTACACTAGTTTGTCTGTTACAATGTTAAAAATTTCACTATATCATAACCCTTAAAACGGTGGCAACTTCTTTACACTAAAAGTGGCGTCACGAAACACTAAGCACTACTTTTGGTGTATAGTAGTTGACAGTTTTTTGTGTGGGTTTAGTAACACTAAAGTTTACGATTACAATAAGATATGATACACGCAATAGTCATACTCTGTTTCAAGTTAAGAAAAATACATTGTCCATATGGAGACAGCCTGCTTGCATTTAAGTGAACGCCAAATTTACAGAATACAGAAAGTAATACTGTAATTTTTAGTTTCTGTCTGAAAGCCTTAATCCCTTTTCTCCAGACACTGTATTATTAGCTTCTGTCTAAAACCCTTCATGTTTTTTTTCAGGGTACTGTTTTAGTTTCTGTCTAAAATCCTTAATGCTTTTTATTTCAGGGAACTGTAATTATTATTGCGAATCATGGTGACAGGATCGATATTCCAAACGGAGCTGTCTTAGAAAACAAAATTGTGTCTGGAAATCTGCGGATATTGGATCACTGATGTGATTTACCTTATTCGAAGTCCTTTTTGAAATATCATCCCGAAAGAATTATAATAATTGTGATCACTACCTCCACAAGATTTGTTATGTTCATACCGATTGATGGAACTTAAATTGTTACATTCTTGTTTCATAATCATTGCCATATTGTTCTAAGATTGTAACAAACTGAAAAAATGATTGAATTCTTCGTATGAATATATTTTTTTCTTTTAGAATTTGAAATAAAAATTAAATTGATTCTAATTGTTGTGTTTAAAATGGTTGATTTTAAAAATAATGTGAAAAGCCTTAGGATGCAGAAAGAAAATTGCATTAAGAATTTTATATAAAATTCTTATCCTTTTACAGTCCAAAATGAGAATTTTACTTTTTATCTTTGAAATGGTGGTATCCAGGTTGTCCAGCGTTTGACAATTGTTTTTAATTTTTTTTGAAAAAACTGATAAATAAAATTTGTTAAAATTTATTAAATCATTTTTAATCTAGGAGGATGGCATTAACCTCAACAGAGATCGTTTTTCCTGTAGGAAATTAAAATAGGTAGAGGTAATTAGAGAGTATAAAACACTTCGTCAAGAGTTCGTAAAGAATCCACATGATTTGGACAGATAGCTATTAATTATTACAAAAATGATAAATTCTTATCTGTAAGCTTTGGAAATTTTAAATAAGTTGGCGATGGGGAATTAGTAACGGGCATTTTTTGAAGCCAAAACACTATAGCAAATTTTTCAGTTATGTAGTTGTCTTGAATATTTATGTAATTATATTAGCAGTTTAAGAAAAACTATGCAATAGAAATTTAGAATTGTTCTGACGTAAGAAAAATAGATTAATTTTTTACCTATTGAGAACAGTATCGAGTAAAATATAAATTTAATTATTAACTGATTGGACGCATGTTAAGCTTATTTTGGCATGCTGGTATTTCTAAATGAGGAAAACATTAAAAATCTATAATTTTCCAAATACTACATATTTAAAATAATATGTTTACAATTGTAAATAGCAAAAGTACTTGAATAACAAGCTTCTAAATCCAGTCATGCAGAGGTTGATATTTGAATGCGACCTACTTTAATCTGTGAGATAAAAAGTACTCGAATTACTTTCTCTAGTAAGCGAGTGACAAATGAAAAATGGGGACTTCTTTTTGTGTTTTTGAATCTCTAGACTTAAGTAGTTTTTGCCTTAAAAACCTGCGCTTTCCTTCTTTTCTAGTTTTCTCATTAACTTGCCATTTTCTTTTTGCATCAGAAAGATGCGCTCTCTTTAATTCTTGAGGTAGGTATGCAGAGGAGGTAGGTACAGTTGAAATTTTGAAATATTTTTGATTGCATGCATGCTTTTGAACTAGGATTTCTATTCTAATGTATGTTTGAAATTGATATTTTTTTTGTATAGATTCATGAAAAATAAGAAAATAAATTCCTGCATCGTCATAATATTAAATGAATTTGTTTTTATAAATGTAGTCAAAATAAGATCTTTCGACAAATAAAATTAAACCTAAAGTTTGCTGCCATGTTTTAAGAATACTTTTATTGCACTTGCTAAATTATTTTGATTGTACTTCGAATCCAAAATATAGTATTGTCACAATAAACAATTTAATTTAGAGCAGAATTGCTAATAACTTGTCCCGTTTTAGTATTAAAGACCTTTTCAGCACTGTAAACGAAATCAGATTTAAGTCCTTTAAAGATTCTATTATTGATAACACTTGAAAACAAATATTTTGTTGCCTTTATACAAATACTTGATTTTGCTTAATTCGGGTGTGGGGGTTACAAATCTGAAATTATCTAGGATCCTAAAGCTACTCGGGTTCTTAAAAATAATATTTTTAGTATATTTTTGTCGAAATGTGCGAGTTTAAAAACGTTATCAGGAAGACACCTAAATGTTGCGATAAACTTTTAGAGCAGTTAGGACACATCATCAGAATAAAAATTGCATGGGGACCTATGCTCGGTAATACGTGGCTAAAGGCGTTTCCCGATTATGACTGTTCAGAAGTGCACAAAGAAACAGTTCATGATAATGAAGAACCCCTAACTGCCTATGACGGCATTTACGTGCATGAATTCCTATGCAATTTTATACCTGATGATGTACTCTTAACTCCCTTAGAAGTTTCTCGTAACATTTAAGTGACCCTCCTTTATATATATAGCACTTTTAAGCTTGCACATTTTGACAAAATATAGACTAAAAAAGTCATTGAAAAACAGTAACTTGGATAGAGAAATCTATTGCAGATTTGAAACCAGTCATACGAAAATATCTAAAATCTGTTAAAAAAATCTCATTCAACATAAAAAATATTTCCCTTGTGTAATCGTTGAGCCATTTACAGCATATCTTGCCAATGCAATCTCAGATACACTGAGTAAAGCAGACACGCTATAAAACTAAGCTTAAGGATATATCCCTTATTAAGAGTTAGACAATTCATCGATTGCTGCATATAAAATTTTTCAAGGATTCAATGATTGCTGCATATAACATTTAACTTCGATACCGCTAAAATTCTTTCCACCCTTGTGAAATTAGCTCATCTCAATTCTTTTGGAATCTTGTTAACACCGATTCCCTTGTTAGTGACATAAGTTCCTCGACACCCCTCCATTCCGTCTGGAAAATATCATGCATCTATTTGCTACCCTCATATACCGAGATTTTTACTCGATTTGTGCATTATTATAATTTTTAATTTTTTGTTCGCAAAGTTGCATTTCTGTTCTCAAATCTGTTTCGATTCTATCATCCTAAAGCCTTGGATACGTGAATAAAGTAGTGACACGCCGCCATCTTGGTGATTGCAACTCTCTTTTGAGCTCAACTCTCAATGTAGATATGCGGAGTTTCTATTCTTAAGCGCCACATTTAATAGATTATTATTTTCATATTCTTAAAGATAACTTAAATCTTTACTATTTATTCTTTTTATTCTATTTTTCTCTCTGAAATTATATGTTTTATTTTTATTCTATTCTGTGAAAATAATACTTTATCAATAAGTAAAATCTTTCTCATTTGGTCTTTCATAATCTATTCCGATAATACCGATATTTAATTTATATTCATTCACTATGATTGAGATAAATTATATTTGAGTATTTTTAATATTGTATGGTAAATATTTTATTTCAATAAATATTTTATACTTAAAGAAAAAACATTTTAATTTTATCAATTGGATGAAGTAAAACGATTTAACTGCGAGTTATATAAAATGAAAAAATAAATACATATTTTACTGAATTAGTACAAAGGTATTTAAATTGCATTTAATGTGATTCTTTAACAATTTTACATTTTATTACTGAGTAATAATGTTAATAATATCTTTAAGGAGGAAAATATTTGCCATGATTGTTAGTTTATTGAAATGGGCACATTATTCTTTCATTAAATAAAACAAAACAATTCAAATTTTCAATGTAATTTTTTTTCTGAAACTAGGAAGGTTCCCTTATTTCCTCCCTTAACATACATTTTTAGAATCATAGTTTAAAAGAAGTAAAAAGTTATGCATACATGAGCTAACGTATAAATATTTAATGTAAACAAAACGCTGTTAAAATTTGCCGAATCATTATTGAGAAAGGAGGAAGGAAATTCATCAACACCTGTCTGATTTTTTTTTGAAATTCGAAAGTGTTTCTAATTATTATTTTTAAACTACTTTCCTCCGGCTATCAGAAAGGTTTTGAAGTTTACTGTCTCCCCTGCCTCAGTAGTGATTAATCTCGATATGATAGTGCTTTTTTTTCTAGCTTAATTATTAATTTGCGTATGGAGAATGTAACGCAAATAAATTGCGTTTATACTACACATATGCAATAGATATTCCTTTCTTTGACTGTGATTTTAAAAATACACATCAAGGAAAGTACGGAACATTCTATACAATTTAATCTAATCCTTTTTGAAATAACGTTAATAGTTCGAATGTAGACAACAGAATTATTAGAACACTATTTTTCAAACACAATATTTGTTTCCAACGAAATTAAAATAGCAATTTTAACAATTTCGTTATAAAACACACCATAAGCTGACTATAAAAATGTTTACTATCTTAATGTTGCTCACATTTTCAGAGAGAGGAAATTGCTTAAATAAAATTTTACATCGAAGTAAGTGCCACTGAAAACCTTTGTAAATTGTTTCGTTTTACGAGGGCTTATAAAGTAATTGCCGTAGCCGTTTAAATTTAATCTTTGTCAGGAAATTCTAACATCGAAATAAATTTTCATCATTAAAATTACCTATTGCAAGAATTTTAGTTATTTTTTCTACTCATTGAATATATTGAATTCTATTTAGTATTTATTTTTATGCAGACGATCGAGAATCCGTTAGATACAAAAATAACGTACTGTCTCAAAACTACTTTTTTGCTCCAGCTGTTTCAGACGACTATATTTAAATTACGAAATATGGTATCGAGTCAAATATTTAGTTTACCAAATATCGGTTTTCAATTACGAGCATTCAAATAATTTTTATTTTTAGCAGCAGAAATTGAAAATGCTATTTAAAAATTGGAGAAGCAGAAATTGAAAAAAAATGACTTCAGTCATTTTTTTTTCTCCTTAAAATACATTTTTAGTTTGATCTCTTTATTATTATATTTTATTCTAAATGAATATTGAAATAATAAAGTACAATAACAGTTACTTTGTTGCGAAATGTTGTGTTTTTGAAGCGTTGATCCTTTGTTATTGAAAAGTTTGGTTTCTTTTTTAATGTTAGTTTTTTTAAAATTTCGATTGTTAAATTTTGTAATTCACATATAATTGTCAATTTTAATGTGTGAAATGGTTATTATTTTTAATTGCAGAACATTCAATTTAGTCGAATTGAAATAATTTTGCTAATATAGAAATCATTGAGAGGCATATCGTATTTTATGTTCATTTCTTTTCATATTAATTATTTTTATTTTAATATCTAGTCACGTGTTTAGAACTCATAGCTACAACATCATAATCTAAAGACATAGTTAAGCAAGAAATACATTTTTGATTAATGTTAACGCATATTTTACTATATATTTAGCAACGGCCATTCATATAATGTATTTTAAAAATCTTTGTCGAAAAAAAAAAAAAAGGTTGACATCAGGGGTCTCATATTACTAAAATTTAATATCGAAGCAAGGGGAAAAAAGGGGAGGACCTTTG